GATTCCTCATGACCATTCGAGCCCCGGTCCCTTGGCATCACTCTCGTACCTGTCCCAGTGGAATTAGAAAGACCTCTCCATTCATTTTCTCCCGGGCCCCTGAGGAATCTTCCAATTCCTGGCCGTCAGTACGAAACATATCCGCAACCTAACACAAAGACGTGTATACGAACCGGTGGCCCATCATGTTCATTTCAAGGAACATCATCCAGGAATCTTCGAAACACAACTTCTACATGTGATTTACGGCCCCACCTGTCCATATGGCTCGATGGCATCCTAACAGTCCACTGGTTTCCACGATCAGTGCTGAGAGAAAATAAATCTACGACCTTTTTTCCGTGTGCGAGTCTCCAGTATTTGTGTAGGACATCCACTAGGAAAAGCGAAAGGTACGTCATGTTCAAATCTGCCCAAATATGATCGACAATGAGCTTCTTACTTCTGCAGATCACGTAACTTGGGAAATGATATTCTTAAATCGTCGCCCATCGAGGTCACAGACTTGGCCAAATTCCCAGCACAGCTGTCAGTCGTATGTTCTCGATCTGATTTGGGGCCATTAACCACGTGCTTCAATTCCTAATTTGCTTAACACATGCTCAGGTTGTAACTAACCCGGGGTTCATCTGCAGGTGTAGTTGAGCGGGTTTCTCCATCCTGCACTACAGATTTCAGTCCAATGGCATGAGGTCCATGCCCTCGAGAGCGACCATGCCTACTGCACGTCTTTACGGCGAGGCTCCAAGGGCAGAAGTCGTCTTAGTCTGGACGCCACTGGAGTTGAATCTCCATGGCCCTTCTCTATCTGTGTCCTCGGCCAACGAGCTCGGGTCTCGTTTACTTTCGGATGCACTGTGTACATTCTCACTCGAGTGTTCTCCACCTACACCTGCGGGACATTGAATGGGCATCTCCCCAACACATGTTGTCCTGCGTTTACTGTAGTTCTCCCTACCTCTCTCTAGACTCGTTGGTCTCGACAGAATTGCAGCCCACTATACACAGTGATCGTGATCAATGCACCACTAGAGTGGTGGTGGAATTTGATAAAGCTGACCCGCGAGAAATCCACAAAGGTGACTAACGACCCCGTAGAATTGTGATGATGCGCAGCACTCAATCATCGAGAACCCATTCCGTTCGTAGTATATTCCTGCAGCAGAATTACCGTCGACCGAACGTGGTTTGAAAATACTTCTACACTGCAAATGTTTAAATTTAGATTATTTGGTGTAGTACAAAAACAGTTCTCAGATATCTTATAAATTTTCGTATAAATCTCATACATATTTGGGAAATATATACATATATATATGACACTAGACTTTATAGACATTGCTGGTTAATATTTATACGAAAATGATCAAAGTTTTATGCTTTTGACATAAAGGCAGATAACTTTGATAGATAAGATTGCAGAGCACGTTAAGTCTTGAAGTTTGTGACCGCAAATTCAAATAAAGCATGTGAATGTGGGGCTCGACAAGGTACACAATCCAACGCCACAGTGGCTCTCGAGTCATCTGGAAGAAGATCTACCGAGCAACGACTTTGGAAAACATCTCCCTCGAAATTGCTAAAACTGAACTTTTACACAAGACTATGTCCTTTCTCAACACTGTAGTTTCGAAAGTCGAACAAGAGTAAATTGCGAGGGGAATATATTCTAGCGCATATGTTCTCGCGGGGTTCTCCCAGCTTCTCCTTGAGAGTCCAACCGACCACTCTCGCCTTGAGCTCGACAGCCCCAAACTCAAGACTCACTCACTCACTAACATGCGCCAAGCGTCGAGCAACATGGTCCTTTCGCCCAGCACTGTACCTAAAAACATGCCCCAGATGCATCAAAGCTGACCCAACTGGACTACCTCGTTCCGGAGTCCCCAATCTCTACCCCTGGGTCCAGCAACCGCAGGGCTCAAGCTCGACACGATTGCGTCTCGTTCATCACTGTAGATTCAAATCACAATGCGCTGCCAGTGATCTCTGACCAGTGGCCTGTGACCAATCGGCTTCAGATGTTTACCTCCGTGTATGCTCTTCTCGACATAACATCTACGTCTTCTGCATCTCCTCCCCCATCCCCCACCCTGGCCATCCTTGAGAGTCCAACCGGTACTGGTACGTGGAGGTGGACAAACCATAATTAGCAGACACCTAAACTCATGTGAGAAGAGGATGGCGGGCCTGGAGGGATCTACGGGTGGTCCTTTTCTCACCTCGCTGCTGCTGCTGCTGTTGTTGTTGCTGGAAAGGGGGGCACAGTTTATGAGCCCAATTCGGAGGAGTGGAGTGGAGGGGAGGGTCCAGCTGGACTGTAAGTTGAACTGAACCGACCGACCGAGTTGTTGTTGTTGACATGGGAGAGGCATTTCTCTGCAATTCTCTGAGACGGTCCTTCCATGGAGAACCAAACGGACCACCTTGCCAGAGCTCGAACCCAATCAACGAACTTCGCTGCAACCAATGGGTGCGGCGGGCAGCCAGCGCCGATTTCCATGCACACTTGGGGTCGAGTTTTCATTCATGCGGCCTGATTATGCAGGTCCTACGAAGTTCACAAAGCCAAGTGGGACGCTTGACCGCGTCTCGCTTGCCAACGAACATCTCCTCGTTGTTGGTGGAGGGAGGTTTTGATTACCCACAACCATCGTTCTGCGTTTTGATTGCAGCGGCTCGTTCTGCTAAGTCCATGTTCTGGATCATGCGAGAATTCTTGGAAGGTCCTCCCTCACTCCGCCACATGGCCGGAAGCTTCAGATTCCTCGAAGGGAAATTCTGCTTTAAACCCGAGACCCTTCTTATCACCTCGTCCGTGGATCGACATTAAAGAGGATCCTCGGTGTTCAGAGGCAGATTAGCACGATGTGCTTCCAAACCGAAGAGTGAATTAAGTCCCTTGATCATTAACACCATTGCAGCGTGTAGAGTAGTCGGTGACGAGCATCGACGACCAAATTTCATAACTAACTTTCTCCACTCCAAACTGTAACCTGAAACCCAGTAGAGGTCTACTGACGGACCTCGCGTGATCTCGTCGATCACTTCGTTGAGCTGATCAAGGGAGGAAACCGATGCAAAACCGCACTCCGGACCATAACTTGAGCTCGTCAGGACCCACAAACCCCAGTTCAAAAGATTAATTTAATCCTAGACTGGGGTACCGAGAGCATGGGGAGGCCTTGGTCACGAACTCGTACAGGGATATTATTATGGATCCTGGAGTCTCGGGGAGGAATGGATTCAAATCGGGCCGAGGGCGGGTGAGGCCCAGGTTATCACAGAGCAAATTCTTACACTTATGGGTGGGGCTTCGAGAAGGACAACTCAGAGACGCACTCGTAATTTCAGGTGGAGATTAAAATCACAGTGCGCCATGAGATGACGTACGCCCGCAGCCTGCTTGGATTTCGAAATATTCAGTGTGGTCATGCTCTACATCGAGCCCGTGTAACTTCCCTACGCCCGTCCCAGCTGTCGTGGTGAGGAATTGGAAGAGCTGCGAGCTTTTGAATTACAATTTCTTATTCTTCCGTGGCCCCCCAAATCCCTCCACGAGGTGCATCCCCATATCCTCTTTCCCTGATCTGTGGACAGACAGTGTCCCCAAGTGCTTGTCCCCTTAACCCCCGTCCTTCCGTCAGCCGCAAACGCATGGCAGACAAGACGGATGACCTCAACGTGAGACGCAAAGCGCAGTCCAGTCCAGGCCAGGCCAGGTCACCGGAGAAGAGACGCTTCATTATGCCATCACATCACCCACGATAGCCTGGATCATTATGATCGACTCCAAGGACGCAAGGACGCGACCACCGACTACCGACGGTCTTCCGGTACAGTTCACCCCCGCTTCGCCACTCGGCCTGACCCACCCCAAGGACGCAGATCTGACCACGGCAGAGGATTTCGGCCGACGTCGATACGGCGTGAGCGCTGTTTCGCTCGAACCATGGATAGAATGGTTGCCATTTGGAGGGCATTTGTTTCGTTTGGACCCGCTTGCACATCGAGCGGTACCGTCACCGACAAGGTGGATTCCACTGACATCTCCCGCTGTCGCTACCGCGTCAACACTGCAGCTTCGTACCAAAAGGTCCGCACTGCAACCGTCCCGGATGACCAGGTAACTGCATCCGGGACACGACGTCACGGAGGTGCGACTCGAGCACGACGGGACCCCGAGTCGTCGTGGAGCTAAACTCGGCACGAGGGTTCTGTGCCGCCGAGTCGAGGGTTGCACGCTGGGCTTCCATGGATCGCGTAGTCGTTCCGGTGGCGAGAGATCCCGGCAGCGTGCGCGGCGTTGCTGGCGCCGACCAATGGGAAAGGAGGGATCCTGGGTCGGCGGGGACCGGTCGAGGGCGACGGATGAGCGGGCGGGCGAGCTCATTGGTGGCCGAGACCGCCCCGCCTTGCGGTGCCGCTAGGGAGCTTTGCAACCGTGCTTTGGCGACGCCGCCGAGCGTGTTCCGCGGCTCGTGCCGTGGCTGCATCCCCTCACTTCGGCACGGGCGACCACGTGGCGGGACTATGACGCTCGGCTGCGGGCAAGCGGGCGAGCGGACGAGCCCTGAGATGAAATCATGGAACCCGGTTGGCGGCTGCTGCTGACCCGAGTCGTTCCGTCGTTGACTGATGTGCTTCTGCTTGCCACGTGGATGATTCTCATTAGCAGCCTGCTTCCTGACTCGACCGGCGACAGGGTGGATCGTGGAATGTAAGCTCGGGTGACTGGTGCGCCAGAGGCCCAGTCAGCCGAGGTCCAGGGGAAATCATTTTCGGTGGGCCCCGTGGGGAGCTCGGGGGAGGACGATCTCCGGCTCCGACAATGGCGGCGCCCCCGCAGTGAATCTAACCGGCGTCGAGCCACGTGTGAGAGCTCCTACCTCCTACGTGGACGCCTCGTCACGCAGAGGGAGCGGTCGGCGAACTAGGTCGGAGGTCCGAATCAAAGGGGTAGAAATTTGTGCAGAGACCAAACAAATGATGAATATCTCGGAAATCATCGGGTTCGACCTCATCTATCGTCCTCTCTCGGGAATGATGGAGGCATGGCCAGGGACCTTGGAGCGCGATGTGGCTAGGCTCGATGAAGTGCGACGAGGGGTGTCTGTCTAAGGAGCTTGTCGATTGCTTTTTCCATCCCTCGATTCCCAGCATCTGCATCATATCCCACGGTGAATTTCTTTTCCATGTTTTATATACCTACGTGTGACTTCAGTGGGCTTGTTTCTTTACCTCTGATGATTGTTGTGGAAGTGGTCTACATGTGAATGTTATATTTCAATCGTGATGGAGTCGTCATTTGATAGGTGGAACCTATTTATGTTGAGTGCACGGCCTCGTTGTACTTTGCAAAAGAACTTTATAGGCTCTATGCAATTCCTTTAGAATATTGCATTTGATGATGTAGACTAGCCTCTTATTGTGTTTGGCTAGCCTCCAACTACATCAATGCAAACAGTATCATTTTCAGGCTACCTGAATTCTAAATGTCTACATGTTGTTTCATGCCAGAGACTTCTAATGCACGTAAATAAGATCGTGAGCAAGGGAGAGGAGACTTATGAAACACAAAGCAGTTGCTTCTAGTCATTATTACTTGGTGTTCTTTTTCTCTTTTTATAACTTCGTCTACAAATGGAATGATTTTCTCATTTCTAGAGGCACCGTCCACTAATGACCTAGAGATGGGGTATCCCCAAACTACCACTGGGTAGATGATTAGAGTATCGAAGTTTTAGAGTCCAAACTGCTGTGCAAGTCTATTTTTTCGCTTTCAACTTCAATCTGCTATCATAATAATATATATTTTTATCACTAAGAAGTCAGTAAAGTAGAATTCACTATATTGCATCAGCGAGTGATACATTTCGAACAAATGAATTACTTCTTTTATCATAAGTATCAAAAGCATAGAGATGATTAAAAGCAAGGATAATTTTTTACTATCGCTGTCATTTAGATCATCAAGAAATTCACGGAAAAATAATAATAAATTGTGTACGTATGAAAAATGAGAGTACAAGAAGTAAACAAGAGATCAATATAACTCCCTTTTATATATACAATATAAAACTCCTCCTCTTCGCTACATTGAAAGGATGAATATGATGAGATGAATGTAAGTTACAATCCACAATCCGATGTAAAATTGATAAGGCCTTACAACTTTTCGGAACTTTGTAGAATTATGCAGACAAAATACAAATTTAAACAAACCACATAAATTTGATCACATATCTCCGAGAGGCATGCAAATGTGCCATTAAAAAATAGTAGTGCGTAGTGAAGGACATACGAGAACGGTACAAACAGTCACACAGACTAATAATTTATAAAAAAAACTGTGGAATTGCTCAAAGTTTTTTTTATTTAGCAATGGAGCTATCATAATAAAAAGAGATCGTTTTAAACTATGTAATTTTTGTAAAATATATAAAAGTTGTTCGAGTTCTATACTCGAAGTCATTCTCTAAAATATTTTCGTTCAGCTTTCGACTCAAGGATGGACTCGAACTCGTGAGAGACATCGAGGGCTTTGGGGTTCAGGATTGAAGGCGGGCGGGGCGACAACAAGGCCATTAATGGCGTACTGTCACCTTTTTTAGAAATCAAGAAACCATGAGAATGCTCCATGTGCACGCAGCTGGGTCGAGTCGAGTCGAGCCGTCGTAACGCCACCTCGTCAATTCCGAAGCCGAGAAATGAGGCCATAAGTGTGCTCCGCCCATACAGATCGGTCGCTTCCTTTCCGGTGGCTTTTGAATTCGTCTGGTCGAACGAAGGGAAGGCGGAATAGTACTTCAGCCCGAGACATTCCGCCTCGAGCATTTGAAGGTTAGGCCAAATAATATAAACGCAGCTCACATTATTGCCTCCATTCCGCACTGTGCAACTTTTGAATCCCCTTTCCCTTGATTAGGACAGTACTGCGATTCGAACGTTGCGGCCTTTTTTCCTGGAGTCTTTATTGTGGACGTGACGAAGTGATCGAATGATTAGCCTTCAAAATTCAGTTCGAGGGGGAATGTATGAGGCGAGTGCGGGTTTCTTGATTCCGCCTTGCGCATAGTTTTAAATTAGGTTTTGGATGAGGGTGAGTAACATCGTCTTTGTTATGCCACAAGTTGCACTTCTTGATTTGCAAGCGATCGGAGTCGTCGGAAAGCGAGAACTGTGCGTGCTACGGACCACGATAAATCTTGTGTCTCCTACTAGTCTTCGTGCCACAAGCCCACGATGGTCCGACGGCAGCAACTTTTGCGCATGCAGAAACCAATACGAGAGTGATGAGGTCGCTAAGTCCGAGGGGATTTATTCTAATTTTTTTTATCTTCGCTGGGTCACTCCAAGATATTGTTCGTGGTCCCGAGGCTGCAAAGCTTTGCATGAGCTCGCCCTCGCAAGCTTTCCAGCAAGCCTTTCGTCTTGTTCGCATGCCACTTGACCCTCCTCCTCGTATACTTCCAGAAACAAAAATGTATTCGTATATGTTGTCAACATTTGCGACCCTCGATCGTGCAGGCCCTTTCAACACGAGGGTGCACGTTTACGCAATATCCACCAAGTTGGAGCTTTTCCGAGGACCCCAGTACAGTACAGTGACATGACAAAGAAAGTCCGACACATCCCTTACCTCCACCCGAGTCGAACTCCATTCGTTCCACATCAACTACGCCGCGGAACGCAAACCGCAAATGGCTCTCCACATAAAAGAATCTTATAAAAGGTCTTGAAATGACGTTCAGATTAACACGGCAGAGAAGGTCAATTTCTGCAGGTCGCCTGCCCCCTGCCACCCAGAAGGTACCGACGAGAGGAAAGAAATCGACACCAGAAGCCGATTCACCTGATAATGTTGGGAAAATGCAGTTCAACAAATGCCAGAACTGTAGCCACATTTGAACCCGGATGACAGAATTTCTGAGTTGGTTGCTGCCGATATTTGAAAAAAGCCTAACGACCGAGCATGGAAGTGGTGGAACTCCATGCGGGCGAGAATAAAAAATTGTTGGATTTGTCTGAATTCAAACTCGAACCGGAAAGGTGTCCTCGATCTGCAGGCTCCGTGGCCAGACACTCCAGGCTCAGTCGAGATCCTATGACATGTCGATATTTTCCTCGCGGCCCCCTAAACACCTTTCGACGGCAGGCCTAGAAAGCAAGCTCTCGACACTCCACGCTTTCCGGTCGACATCGTTCCCTTCGGTACGATGTTATCCGAAGGAAGAGCAGCAGCAGCGTGCAGGCAGACCCTGGAGCCTTTTACAGAAGTGTCCTCCCTTCTGTCTCGTCCACATTCAAACGGCCCCGAGTGCACCTGCGAGACGATTCATTGCATTGCAGCTCCGCGAGAGCAAATCCAGACCCTGTCTTTTGGTTTTCTTATTTTTTATTTTTTTATTTTTTGTGTGCCCCCACTGTTTGCATTATTTAAGTGTGTATTATTATGTGTAGAGTCAGAGGCTCTATTTATCTGCGCTACGGACGACACTCGGAGGACATTCCCAATCATGTACTCCGCTTATTCGAATCCAAGTGCATGTACATCTCGACCATTCCCTAGAAAGCGTAAGGTTGAAGTGTCAGATTCGACCCCAAGATGCTCTTTATTTGGTTCCCAAGTTCCAGTTCGACTTCTCGGTCAGAGATTAAGCGTATTATAAAAGCCATTGTACAAAGTGCGCAAATTGAAGACGATCTGTTATTTGTATTTTTTTAATCCAGATATTTAGCTTGAAAATGTGTTGGATACGAAGGTCTTAAATAAGATGATCCAAATGCATAACGAGCTTGCTGTGTGACAGAAACATCGAGGCCATGTGCCGAAGTCCGTTCACCTTCCGAACCTTTTCCAGATCCTGAGCCTGAAGACGTGTTCCCATCCTAGAAAGATGTCCATTCAAGATTAAAATACTTTTTACGTGTCTTTAGTGTGAGGAGATGATAAATCTCACGTGAGGAAACAAAACATATTCATCACCTTCGACACTATTTTTTTTTTACATCAGTACCTTGACTTTGCGTGGTCCAACATATACAGGTTTCAGCTTTTTACCATCTAGCCTATAGCTTATTTGACACTTGTAAAATAAATAAACATGGATCAAGAAATATCCTCACAGAGTATGGGGGCATTTCATCAGTTGTACAACGATGAATCCAGAAGGGCAACATGGAGCTAGATCGGATGTCATCATTATAGCAAAAATATGCTTTTGATTTTAAGGTTTTTGGTAAGAATTCTTGAGGTAATATTGTCTACAAACAATAAGAAGGTTACATTTACAACTTAATTTGTCTCTTATGGATATCATCATTTCTATGTGGAAAAATGGAAACAAGTATATTCTAAAAGGTTACAGAATATACTGAATGAATTGATAAATCTCTATTCTATCACAATACTTTGTAATAAAATTTATTCTTTTACATTCTTTCACAAATTTGACAGTTTTTTTACATAGTGCCATAAAATTCCAAAACTTAAAAAATTGCTGATTTTTCAAGATATATTCAAACTTGGAGATCATCCAAGGATCAGAACTCATGTGGGAAATTTTGATACTCATGTGAAAGGTTTTTGAAAGAGGTTATAATCGGTAACCACCATATACAGTACTCCGTAGTAATATGGTGACTCCAAATCACATGTCAATGCATCTCAACTGTGGATGAATGCAGTACCTTCCACTCATTCTTTCAACGCGATTTACAGATTCAGTAAAGGCTACAAGTAATAAACAAAAAATATATAGCAAATAAATTTTTTGTCTTCCAAATTGTCAATGAATACGGTTAACATTCTGTGAATATGATATTTGCTTCATAATTAAACATATAGAAAAATGTACCCGAGCCAATGAGAGTACAAGTGTGAGCGATTTTGATGTGGAGCAAATATTAATATAAATATGCATTGTGAGATTCTCTAATTTTGAAATGAATCTCAGAATTAGTGATGTCTTTTGTTGGAAAGACATCGATGTCCTTTGAGGAAAACATTGCACGCACAGTTGTCTCATCCTCAACTCAAAGTGATGGACTTTTCCTCTATCTAGGCTAGCACGGTACGACGGTACTGAGAGAAAAACAGGCTCGGCTCGTTGCTCACAATGCATGATGCCTCAATCACCGCCATCGAATTTTGTATGTTTGCTAATGCTTGGAGCACCGAGGGACATTTGAAAGTCCGAGGAAGATCCGAGTCAGGCTGCGAAAGGTGAAAATCTGGATGGAAGCAGGTGGATCGGCAGAGGACATTTGTTTTCTCGTCTGTCGGCAGTACCGATCCAGTCTCGGAGTCTAAACATAGACATGCACGAAGCTCGCAGGATTTGAAATCTAGAGGAACGACATGCTGTCGAAACCGAGCAGCTTTGTTTCCTGTACTTGCGAATCGTCCGTGGTTCCATCCACAGTTTGGGAACCTTCAACAGTTCGGAATCGATGCAAGGACACTGTAGTCCGAAGACGACATCCTTCTTATGATTGGGCAAAATTGTCAACACTCCGCACACGAAACCAAGTGCTGCTGGGGGATTTGAAATGTTGTTAGGAGGGAACATATTTGCTCGTGCAGATAATGGATTTGTTAATGTTTGAGCGGTTTATCTTTTCATGTTCATGAGAGATAAACAGAGCTGAATCATTCTTTGCATGTAAATCGCGTACAATAGTACATGAAGACAACATTAGCCCTACCCTGAGCTAGGTAACAGAATGAAGAGGAGTCTAGATGGCCCACCGTCGCCAACCGACCACAATCCATTAGACGTGGCCGGTTTGAAATTGCCGGAGATGGATGTAGTATCTTCTTCTCGCAGTTAGCTGTCAGTGAATCGCTGCATATAGGCAGCTATACCCACTGTAGTTTAAGATTTGTGGTGCTCTTATCTGGATTGGTTCAAGCTGTTGCACTTACCTACCTCAGCAGCTTGAGCAGGAAAGATGACGATCGAGGTTTTAATCCAAACACTTTCATCTTACATCACGAAAGTATGCTTCTGTTCAGTTTCCATCGTATGTGATCATGGAGTGTCACGTCATAGGCAAAACAGAGAAATGACGATGTACTCCTTGAGCTTTTAATTCTATCATGCTGAAGATAACAGCTAGAATCTCATCTAAAAAATTGCTGAAGTAGCATAAAGCGTGTGCATAACGGTGTACTGTACTTGACAACACATGAACTCATGGAATATCATGATGCGGACATGCGGACGAATGTGGCCATGTTTCTTGCTTGCATCGGGCCTAGAGGTCTCCATTCACCCCTTTCTTGAGTTGATGGCATCGCTGCATGATGGTGTTGACGATAGAATGAAAGACCGAATGCATCCTTGCGAGCACATGAACGAGTAGAGTAATGAATTATTCTGGCATAAAAGTTGAAGACACTCTGGCTCTTAAAACACGACCAGAGAGTAGGATCCTACCGGTCGATTGTAGGAATGCCAAATGTAGAATGTCAAAGTTGTCAAATGCCTCGTTCTTTCGGACCCCAAGGACAACGGTAGGCTCCTCCTAAAGATCCTCCTCCACTCGAAGTTGGCACTTTCAAGATTCTACCACAAAAAAGAGGACTACAAGGAAGCATAAATCCGTTGCCCATTCGTAAAGCCATGTCCTGAACCTCCACGTCTTGCATGAAGAGGAAATTGAATTCCAGAGCGTGCAGTAGGAAGGCCAGGATGATAGACCTCATTCGATCTCAAGTCTGTCTGTCTCTCTATCTATCTATCTATCCATCATTCGAGAAAGGTTCACGCACATGATAACTTGGCTTGGCATTCATCATATGTGTGCCATGACATCATGTGCGGGCACAATAGATTTTATTCCTCGGCTAGAAAAGTCAATCTCATAATCATTTATACGCAAATCGTAGCACATAGTGCATGATGGCCGAGTAGAAGGAAGCCCCTTTGACAACACGAAGAATTGATAATCAGGGGAATAACCTCCCCTCCACCCTCCTTCCACTGACTTTTCCTTTTGCTTACGCACCATGAAGTCATGCACTGGGAACGAATTACCCGATGATGCGCCATCGTCTCGCCGAATTACTTCGAGCCTCCGACCATTCGAGAGGGCAGAAAGGCTGAGACTCTCTACCTGGCCCACCAAAGCAAAGCAAAACAAAACGGTCGAGGCCTGAGGCCTGAGCTGTGGAGCGTTTCGGACCTCGGGAACTTGCGTCCAATTGAAATGCCCCGACATCGTTCACTAAGCAGCAGTCGGCGTTCGCAGGACGAATAAACGATAATCGGCGAGATTAATTTTCCACCAGCGGGAGAAGCAAGGAGGATTTGCCCCAGGTCCTCCACCCGATCGATCGAACGAGCGAGCGAGCGAATGCATGGGATCGGGATCGGGGGGGCACATTGAGGCTCTGAACATCTACCTCTTCCACCCACCTACCGATCGATCGGGCCCCTCGTCCAGCCCTAGGCTCCAGCGGTCGGGCTCATGGCCCACACAACAAACATTTGAATTCGACCGTCTCACGCCACTGAATTCGCATCCCCAACGTATTGCTCGATCCCTCCCTCCCTCACGAGGAGAGGGTGCATGGCGGGGGGCCTAGGCAAACAAACCCATAGCCAACCCACAACCCCCCGGGCGAGATGGAGCGTTGCGGGGGCTGGCGGTAATTCCTGTTAGTTTTTCAATGAGCAGTTCATCATAACCCTCGCTTTCACCGAAAAGACGAAAATCAAATCTCTTCTGATCTCGAATTTCTGCAGCAGCTTATGAGTAGATTGATATTTTATTTTTCTTTCACTTCTGCTTTACTATTTACGAGATGGGCTCTCCAGGATGCTTTTCGTTTCCAAAAATTAAAGGCATTTTCGAAAAAGTAAGAAGCCGACATATTGTACGATTTGAGATCGTAGGTCTCGCTCGCATTAATTGGCACTGCTTGAGTTTCTCCATTAAAAAAATCCACCGAGTTCGATGGCACACGGAAATCTTCGGTCCCAGAAATTTTGAGGCAGACGCCGACAAATTTTTATAGGCTTTTGCCTAAACCGATATCAACCGAAGGAAGTACAGTCGATGAACAGAGTTTATGTGTACAATATAACTGGTTTTGAATATAACTGTCAGTATAAGCATGTTGATGAACCTCATTTAAGCTGGACCGCTGGCGTGCAAGTATTGGGTCGTGGACGACTTGTGTTAGGGTGGGGATATTTGTCACACTTGCTTTCTTATGAAAGCTTGGTAGAACCTCGAACACCGGTTGGAATCATTTTGATAAAATATATTGAACTTGAAATCATTTCATTTTGACCAATGTACATGACGTTTTCCCTCCTGAAAGCAAGTGGTATTCGAACAAAATAAATTAAAGCTGGCTGTTTGCACCAATAAATTCAGAGAAAATTATTCCTCTCCCTAAGGTGGAATTATCTTCGGCTACTAGAGATGAAAAAACAATATCCATTTGTAATTTCATTTCATGTATGTGGCTTGACAAGTCGAAAATGACGACAAATCAAGAATCTTTTGTGTCCTTTAAAGGTAAATGTTTTTGGAATCCAAAAGAAAAAAAACAAAATCATTCTGCAAAGCATTTGACTACAAATCGTTTCAATGGAACGGGAAAGACTGGAGCCCAATGTGGTCCAGAAAGATAACGTTTCATGGATATCAGAGAATCTGGGATACTGTGGTCAAACTCATGCCCTTGTTCATTAAGGGCAACGGAAGGTCGACGACAGCCGCTTGTTGTTGCAACAAGTTGGGACTTTTGACTGGCACGAGTTTGGGCACCCTTTTGCACACCCTGCAGCGATGGAGGGAGGGAGGGAGGAGCGACTTTGCAGGATTGGACTTCCAAGTAGTCCTCAGGTGGTGTAAAGAGCCTCTTGATTGATCCAGGTGAACGGAAAAGACGATCCTCGTTGACATTGAGCTGAGCAGCAACTTTCTCTTGCGTGCGTTCTAGACATTGACGCACATTCTTCTCAAGGACAGAGTAACTTGAACATCGCGGCGCGTTCCGCATTTTCATCGTAAGTTTGACCGCGAATGAGGAGAAACTGGAATACAGAAGACACAAAATTATTGCCCCCTTTGATCACATTCCACTTCTTTTCTTGCCATTATGCTCGCGCACTGCTTACCACGTTCGATCTTCTCGCGTCTTACGGTGTTACCGTAGTAGCTGATAGGGCCACCGGCAGTCTTGGACCCATGTGCGGACTGGATCCAGCTGGTGTCCACATGAACTGCGACTGCAGCACTTGTGTGCTAAACCTTTATGTGCGCATGCATAAACTATGCCAATCCAGTTGATAAATCAGGTCTGATTTACATGTCGCCACGTCCTTTTAACTTCACCTTCAAAGTCAAGGGCACAGATTATGATGTTGTTCTTCACACCCTCGTTAGAACTCATATGTAAAGCACATGAGTGCGAGCACCTTGGCATCGAATCTCTTTGCGTAGGAGGACAAAGCTGTTATTTATGGGATGAGTGAATAATATACTAGATATCATTTGGTAGCCTAGAGGCGCTCTGAGGGAAAATTAAACAAAATCAAATTTTTCGAGACGCGAAATAAAACACACGCCAAAAGAAATCGATCGAATTATCGAAAGGAGGGAGAGATGGAGAGTGAAGAAAAGGCAGAAAATCGTCGCCACCGAGATTTCCAGGATCATTTCGCGACTCTCTCTCTCTCCTGGGGACCATTTAAAGCGAGGATGGGGAGACTGGAGGGGGAAAGCTGAGAAAAGCTGAGAAAAGCTGATAATACCTGCTGCCAAAGAACAAGAAGAGAAGCATTTGTTGGGTCAGAAATCTGGAAGCAGTCCGAGGGCAGAAGGGAGAAAAGGGAGGCGGGGGCCATCCACGAGGTCAATGAGAGAGAGCGCCTTTGCAGAATCAGCGTTGTCGGGCCTGCCTGACTGCGCCCAGAGGTCGGGATCTCGGCGACCGACCCACAAGGGCCAGATCTTTACTCCCATTAACTGCGTCCGCCATGGAACCGGGTCACCAGCATCAACCGGGTGCCGTTATCCATAACTTTCCCCATCACGTGTTCGATCCCTCGAAGCGGCACGTGATCGCCACATCACCACTCCCGCGACTCGCCTGACCCGCGACCGAACGCTCTTGAAAGGCCTAATATTCCAATATACATAATTGCTCGCCCTCGAGCTCGAGCTCGAGGTCGCGCTCAAATGCTGACATCGACGGAGTCTGCGAATCTCGCTCTCGGCTTCGTACTTTAGCGTAGATCGATTTATCTCTGTAACCTGCGGTTAGATACGAGCATGAAGCGGCGGACAATCGACATGACAGAAAGGGAGATGATAATAAATTCATCTCGGATATAATTTGATAAATTTATTACATAACCACGTCGTTTCATCTTTACGTGCATGAAATGTGCAGACCGGAGTGGAGAAAGTCGGAGGTCGAAATTCGGATAAGCCGGTGGCCTTTTCCTCATTGGGGGTGGTCTCGAGCTGAGTCGGAGAATAATGGCATGCATAATATCATGACATCGCTGGGGTGCAATTGAAAGTCGATCATGCAGTGCTTACCAACTTCTTCTTGAGCTTTGCGCGTGAGGATTCGCCATTGACAGCTGGGGGAAGAACCCTCGATAATCCACTATGATGGTGCGAACCACTCTTGCACGCATATTGTCCGAACGAGGAGCGAAGGAATAAAAGGCACTGCGATTAGATGGGTCCGAGAGAAAGCTCCCCACTTAACTCGCAATTTACGTGGGTAGCTTTCTGTGGTCACGGGTGATTGGATTGTGGTCGAAGAGAGCTCACCTCCCCATTCCGAGGCGGGTCTTCCATCAGTCTGGGGGTCGAGGAAACAATGCTCCGAAGAATGGACGAGTGCAACCCTTTCGGTGGCGAGATCTCCTCGGAGAAAAAGCAGCCATCGTTCACCATCATTCGACGGTGGATCTTAAATACGCATACGCACATGTGCGAAAGACGATATACGTATGGAATACGGTTTAGGAGAGCACTGGCAAACATATTAAATTGCAAAGGGACTTGGGCTGGTTATGATGCGCTCATCAAGTATTCCAGGATTTTCATCAGTAAAGTAGTGTCCTTATTTGTAAGAGATCTGATACTTCTAAGTCAGTTCCTTGAAGTTCCCGGGAACGCGTACTCTCGTCGGATGATTGTGGCGGAGCCAAGCGTTGTATGATTCTGGGACGAATGCAAAAGGAGTTCGTCTCCATTTACAACTTTGGGATCTTTTTGTGAAATAAATGCTCGATCTAAAGGGGGCCTCATACATGCACAATCCTTAACACCACAAAGCGCAAATACGCATACCACAGCATCATATATCGATATGAATGCCTTGGATGGAAGTATATACGTAACGCATGAATGTGCCATGAATCTTTGGACATCGTCATCACCATCACTCTAGCTGCTTTTTAACGATGAATTATGCTCCGTAGCTCATCAAATTGATACTTCCGCATGGGTTGTATGCACTCGGTTTCTCATAAAAAAAGTGACATGAGGGTCGTAAAAGATGGAGAATTTATCAGAATGAATGTGGTCTCGCTTTTTAGACTTTAATTGTGCCTTACTTAAAGGGTTTGGAGTCGTATAGATCTCGTTATATATTTATAGCTGCAAAGTTCATGGACTCATCCAACAACTGGAATATGATGTTTCTTCAATTAAGAAGTTAGTTCACTGGTGCAAAGTGGAGATGCTTTGGAGGTCATCCAGTCAGATAACAGACTTCCATGAATCTCACCGCATTAGAATAAAGTAGAAGAGAAGGAAAGACAGTATCAAAACTATTCGCTTGTTTCTGGGACAATCGCTATAAACCTTCGAGCAAGCATTCAGTCCTACAGTTGGCGGTTGTTGTTGTGTGCGGATAATATCCTTTCACTATTGTTTCATTTGACCCCCAGGTGTCTTCTTGATCGCGAGAGGGGCTAACTATTAAGATTGTCAGTCACGAACATCACATGTGTATGAGACAATCTGGCCTTCAAAATGACAGGATGTAAGGAAGAGTTGGCTTGAGCTCCGTGCAAATCAAGACTGGAAGCAGTTAATTGACGACTGACTTTAAATCAGGACCATCATTAGCGAAAGTGTATTCTTTCTGCGAGTTTGCCACCACACTCACACGGAAATATTAATAAAACATTGTTCAGCGAACACCACTTAAACCAAAGATGTACCATGATTATGCTAATGCCGATTTTAACCTGTGTTTAGAGCCCACACTCATTACCGGTACTTTCGTTTACACCTTCTATGCAGGAGCTCAAAGCTGAAGTGTGTCCTCTCTACCATGGTCGCATAAGTTGGGGTTGAAGATACAGATAAGGATAGAGGGCAGTTGAGCTGTCCGGACCCATAAGCCCACGAAGAAGCTGGTGTTTGGCATAATCACACACTTTACTAAGAATTTCCTCACTTTTTTTCTCCCCCCTTTTCTTCTATTCTTTTCCTGAAATTGACTGAAGCGTCCTTGTTGCATGTTTCCCCTCACATGTACCGGTACATGTTGTGAGCATATTAGCGTAATTAATTCTACTTGTGTTAATCCTCCTGGGAGCAGCAGAACTAGTCAGCGCAGATTTAGCATGAGGACCACCGGCCCAACGCTTCCAGCTCTAAGACGTGAGTCCTGTAGCGTAAACTGACATCCGAGACACAAACACTTAGACCCACTAAGTAGCACGTAGATCATGATTAGTGGGATCCTTCCGAATCTGACACTTCATTAAGAAGATAATCACCTAATTAGAGAAGTACACAACATAACGAACTTGGTGGGTACAGAAACTTCATGGTTACACTCAGGGATTTTCCCCATCTACAACCTGAAGGACACTTTGTTCATATCCTCGTACACCTTCCGTCTTTTCCATCTCGCGTGTGAACTTTGTTTCCATTCTTGTCATTGTAAGTACTGCGTGTAGATCCGAAGACTGCGTTTCATTTTGGACTACAACAGAGAGTTACCCCCACTTGCAGGGGAAAAGAATAAAGGGGTGATATCGCTCATTGGAGGTGGTTCCTGTCATTATCAAGATTTAGATATCGTGCAGAAATGTTGAAATGTTTTTCTTCTGGTCTGTTTACAATATAGAAAATATGAGACCTTCGGAACATTGGGCGAAAATAATTTGAGCCTTTCGGTACAGACTAACTTATTGCTGGCAAAAATATCTGTCAATAGGTTGATAAGATGGATTCTCAGAAAAAGGTGGAAATTTTATTCATGGTAGGACGCAAGTAATGCTGTGGTGAGTTAGGTGTCGAGTAAACACTGTCTTGTGTCATGTGCTCAAGTTCTCTCCAGTCTCCCTCCATCCCAAACAAAGAGCTTAATTCCTTGCTCTCATCTCGTACGAAGCATGATTCTCGTTCTGGTTCCGGTATGTGTTTCACATCGCCCACATTCCACATAAGTGCGAAGTCGGAACTGCGGCTCATGCTTTTCATTATTCAAGCTTACGCTTTTCACAGGTTTACATCACATAACCAATCATTCGAGCAGGTAATGATTGTTCATGACGAGAAGCCTGAAGTCGAGGCAAAAACCAGCTTTCTTCATCCATCAATGGAAAAATCATCACCCGGAGAGATCATCCTGACCGCCTTAACCTTCCGACGGCCCCCGCACTCGCACTCGCTCTCGCTCGCGCAAGAGTGAGCTCACGGCCTCGCACACAACGCAAATCAATGTGACCAAGAGGGAATGATAAATGTGCCAAGTCGCAGCCCAAGAAAGCGGTGGGTGTAGAAGGGAGGGCATGAGTGGGTGCCGAAGCTCCTCTTCTCGAATCAATCATGAGCTCCTTCACTTCACGCCGTCGTCGCCGTCGTCGTCGTCGTCGTAGTTCCGAATTTTCCTTTCTGGCCGCTTTGGGCACGGCAAGGGGACCGACCACCCCACCCCACCCCACTCCACCCCAAGACCTTCGATCACATCCTCGTAACGACGCTCTCGTTCTTGCTCCTCTCCGCCGCAGCGCACCCGCTGCGCCGTACCGGCTGGCGCGTCAACTCAAACCTCGGAGCCGAGCCGGAACGAGCGTGAAGGGTGCTAAAAACAGACTTTCCCGTTATAAACACGTGAATTAAACGTATATCAGCTTAACGCCCAAACAAGCAGAACCCAACCCAACCCAGCCCAAACCAAACCAAACCAAACCAAACCGCTAACCACGTAGGCAAGGACGCCGGGGGCGCCGTAGGCTGGTCACCTCCGGCGCGGGTCCTGCGGTAACCACGCACATCATACAGCGCAGGGTACTGTAGATTTGAAACCCCAGGTCTGAGGCCAAGGAGTACGAGAGGGGAAACTCAAGAGGCGCGCGCTCGCGAGAAGGAAGCGACCTCGGGTTAGGCCACCACAGTAACCGCGGCGGGGCTGGGGGCGCCGTCGTTCACTTTGACTGCGACGCAGATCGGCCCGTGGTAACCTGGAAGCGAAATAATGATGACTGGCAGTCGCCAGCGGAAGAGTTGTCGTCCGACAGAAGACAGCAGTGGACGCGAGGCGAGGCCCCCCCCCCCCCCCCCCACAAATCACCAGAGCCCCGGCCCCTTCGCTGCACAAGTCTTTGAGAGGCTGACGAGCAGCTGCGAGAGAGAGAGAGAGAGAGAGAGAGAGAGAAACGAAGCAAGGCGAGGTGTGCGAGAGAAGGGAGGAGCTGAGAATTGCGTGACTGGAGGTGCGGGGCGGGGGCATAATCAGCGACGGGAGGGGCGATCGGTGGATGCGTATTGCGGGGTGGGGGCGAGGGAGAGGGAGAGGGAGGGGGAGGATCGGGGCGGGGGGAGCGAATCGTGGCGGGGAGCGAGGCGTGCAGCAGCGCAGAGGCGCTGTTGTTTCGTCGAGGAGCGAGCGAGGAGGGGGAGGGATTCAGGGGGCGAGTGGGGCGGCCGGGCCTGGCCGGGCCTGGCCTCTTGGCTGCACTGCACTGCACTTCACTGCACTCAGCTGAGCAGTGCGGAATAGCGCGAGCCTCTGTTGTGATTCAGCGAAGATTGAGTGAGCGGAGCGGAATTTGGCCAGACGGGGGACCAGTGGAAGGAGAAGTCGGCCCAACACTGAACGCTTATCTCTCCCGTTCTTGCTCCGTCTTTATTCGCTCGCCATCCTTCTCCGGGAGTGACTGCCTTTGCGCACTGGCGCAAATTCCCCGAGCTTTAAAAGAAGAGATTTCTTGGAGTTGAGGAGCAGGCCCCGAGTGTGGAAGCCGGTCCCCGATTGCTCGCTGTGAAGCAGAGGCACTCAGACAGAGGAAAAAGAAAAAAGGAATCGAGACTCTGAGAGGTCCGAAGGCGCGGTCCTGAGTCGACGAGCGCAAAGCCAAAAAGCCCGTCATTTCGCGAGCTGTGCACGGATTTATGTTTCTTTAAAAATCTGCTGCAGCAGAATCAGCGGGAGCAAGGATCAGTCCCAGCGGATTCAAGAGTCGACTCTTTCGAACGGGAGACGAGGACCGACATCACCGTCGTCGTCATCCGCAGCAGCGGCCATGATGCATGCCCGGAAGAGGATGGGACGGGGAGGAGGAGCATGGTGCGGAGAGCTCGCAGCGCATTCGCCAGAGGGCGAAGGGAGGGTGAAGGCTGCGAGAAGGGGGAGCAGCAGGAAGAAGCAGCTTTCGCACCAGGCGCATCAGAATGGATGGTCCGGCGAGAGACAGAGCCTGGTGGCGGACTCGAGCAGAGGCAATGCGGACCTCTGCAAGCGAGTCATGGTGGTGGTCGATGCGTCTCAGGAGTCCAAGCTGGCCCTCAAATGGGCGCTTTCTCACGTCGTGCAGCCCATGGACGTCTTGACTCTGCTCCATGTCCAACCGCCTCCGTATCTTCGACTCTCCTACTCGTCGCACGGTACTGACTCTTCTCCTTGTCCGCGAAATTTTCCCGGACGTAAATCTAATCGAAATTTACGCCCCTCATTCTCAGTCTTTCTCTCTCTGCATCGCTCGGTGATTGTCTACCGATCGCTCAGTGGCTGCAGAACTGAACCAGCGAGCATGCAAATCCATTCGCCCTCTCGATGAGAAACTTCCCGCATTCGCCCTTTATTTACTCGTTTTTCACGCAGACATTAAAATACGCACATTCAAACATTTTTCTGTGCTGTGTTTCTGACCACAGTCGCTCACTTATATCACAATGTGTACGTCCCCGGTTGTCTACCCAATGCCGGCTGCACCCATGTCCTCATTGCGCCTCCTGCCTCGTCTCAACTCTCATCACTCCTGCCATACTTCGAACATAGTTTTCGTCGACCTGAAACTACTTTCTTTTTTCAGTCTCTGGGCCATAGTGTTTCATCTTCTTTCGAGACTAATCTCGAGCGCAGCTCGCCAATTCATAATTTCCAAGGCCCTGCTACCATTCCACTCTGAAGTGGACCGAGACGATAGCGCTGCGTCCCATCCGAGGCGTACGTCTCGGGGAACCTGTTTGCGCTCGAGATCTCCCGGGATAGGCGTCTTCAATTTGTTCCGTCTCGAAGCCATCGGAAGCCCGTGACGCTTTCAAATGCCGAGCGTGAGGCTGTCGAGCTGAGCGGGTGATTCCGAATTTGCTGCTGCGAGGTTGGGGGGCGGGTACAAGTTCACTGTTGGGGTAGAGGCACGGAGGAGATGTATGTCAACTCTGAGCAGCGAAGGGAAGGGAAGGGAGCGAATAACAGCTGAACGAATGAATGCGCCGAGTAAATAGTACTCTCGGTGTACGGTCCGCCCCCTCGCTTGCCGCCTCATGGCGAGTGCGTTACTACGAGCGCGTGTCACTAATTCTTCAGATCTCTGACTGTCCTTCCTTGAGCTGCGGCTCGTGCGCAGTTTCGGTAGCAGTGTGCGGCCTAGTGATCGACCGTCTGAGTAGGCAGTGGGCGAGTTGCATACATGTCGCTGGACCTCTGATGGTCAAGTTCTTCGGTCCTCCGTTCGGTCGTTTCGATACCAGTAACGAATCGACCGGGTCACGGGATTCGTGTTCTTGACATTGGCCTCGTCGCAGCTCGCTGCAGCTCTCAAGATCGGTCGAATGCGGTCGTCGCTTCTATCCTTGGTGCGCCACCTGTCCTTTTGGGGGACTGGTGGCGCTTCGCCAGGCCCTCTCAATCTGTCATCGATGACATTGGCGACGCTTGCAGCACGACGATGGGAATTATATCTGGGTTGTTCTAGGCTGGAGTAGTGGTGGGTATTTGGACTGATTGGCTGACTGAGTTTCGATGCGTCGTTTTTTTGGTTTCACAGGCAGCTTTTTTAACGCCAAGGCCGTGGAGGAGGTCAGGAGGAAGAACGAGGTCGCTGGCTGGGAGCTCGCAAACCAATTCAAAACTTTGGTGGCCACATGCAGACCTGACGTGAGCAGCCATCCATTGTTGCCCTCGATTGACTGTTACGTTTGCGATTGCGCGTTCTTGGTCCGAGACTTGGGCCGTGCGGGTGGTTATATTGCACGCATTTCGATTGATTTCTTGCTGACGGAAGAATGCCAATGTCGTGTAGGTGGAAGTGGAGATTCTTGTAGTGGAAGGAGACAAGGGTCCTACTATCGTTGCGCAAGCGAAGAAGCTTGAAGTGTCTATCCTCGTAATAGGGCAGCGGAAGCCATCCGTCCTCTGGAGGTACATGTGCGTTCACATCAACCCTGTCACAAGCCAAGATTTGTCTGCAAAATCTTGATTATTGAAAATTGAATCTGGTTTCGAACATTGAAATCTCGATTGATTTCGTAAAGATAGCTTGGCAAGTGCAGTGTCTGATCGTTCGAGCGAACAAAAGCGATCAGATGATTATTTTCCCCATCTTTTGCGAATTCGAATATGCCCTGGTCTTATCATGGACTTCTTCACCGATCGCTTCTTTCTCATCCGATCGCTGTGTGTTGCGCGAGCAGGTTGCTGAAGAAAAAGAAGGACAGCTTGGCCGAGTACTGCATAAACAACTCGGACTGCTTGACACTGGCCGTGAGGAAGAAGAGCAGGCGGCTGGGAGGGTACCTGATCAACAGCCAGTGGCAGAAGAACTTCTGGCTACTGGCCTGAATATGGGCCATCATCATCGACAAGCGCGAACCGGCTTCGGTTCAGAATTTTAGTTCGCATTAGACCTTAAAAGCTTTTACTATAAAGTTCTCCACACACTTGAGCCCCTCTTGGAATGCCTGTACATTACCCCATTGAAGAAGCCCTGGCAGACAAGTTTTGAGCAGTCCACCGTTCTGCCCCTTCCATTGTAACTTTGTAGCAATAGTTTCTAGGAGTAGTGGAGGTAGAGGTAGTAGTACAATCCACCCCATTGCTCGACCGCAATGCAAGCAGGCAAAGCTCAGTAGTCATCGATCAGCAGCTCTCAAGCTGACGATGGTGCATCACCCCGTCCCACCTCCCCAGTGGTGGCAGGCCGATGAAGTTAGGCGTATGAGACCGACCCCGAGACAGTTGATGTGGATCCCGTAGAGATGGCTTAGAAAGCTTATCTTCCTGCTCTTCACATTCCAAGTATGGTGGCTGGAGACCCACCCAGAGTGTGCCATGACCCAACTCCCTTGTTACCAGATACGTTTCCCCGCGAGTCATATCTCGTTTAGGTTCTCAAGATAAGGGCAACTTCAGGGAGAGATCATTGTCACTCCTCTTTGTACATTATATACATCAAAACCGTTCAAACTGACTACGCCCCTCAAATCTCTGTCTCTCTCTCTGATAATGTTTGCCTCTTTCTGAAATTTAAATGTTGGTGTCCGGTGCGAAGGAAATTTCCTTCGTACTGGGATCGATCGATCGTACAGCGAAGCGGGTTGTTTCCCTCGCCTCGCCCTTCCGCTGCCCACGAAAGCGGCAAAACATTGAGCTCGTTTCTGTACCCCCCTTGGGTTCACAGGTTTCAAAACATCTTCCAGCAGCAGCGGCGACCGTGGTCCTCGCCAGCCCCCAAGGCTTGGCATGGCTGCTGCTGCTGCTGCAACCAGGTGGAAGAAATGTTGGGATGTTTCACGTGCCTCGTCTGCGTGCTCTGAGTCTGCGCCCTGAGTTTTAATGACGCACCGAGGGCCATGAAGCTCAGTCCATACTCCAGGCATCTCCTCCATCTCCATCTCTCTCTCTGTCTCTGAGGACGAGGACGAGGATGGCGGTCGTCGTCGTCTTCGGCGTCTAGGCGAGATATGATTTGAACCGGCGATGCTCCGAGCACAGCTGGCCGAAAGGCTGGCGCCTTGCTTTCCATGCCCGAGGGCGATGACAAGTGGCGCATGCTCTGAGCTCGGGCCGTAAGAAAATATTACCTTCCTGCTGAGGCAGCGGGTGACTCGGATTCGCCACGTCAGGCCGGGGCCCGTCGCCATGCCCTCGCCAGCGACGCAGCAGGAGCCGGCTGCTCGTGCTCAGGCGGGCGTACCTTCTCCTACGCTCACTATCCGGCATCCCTCCGTCGAGGTCAATGGAAATTCTCGCGTCCAGATTGTGTCATCCCGCTCCGCACGAGGTCAAATCTGCCTCTTGTATCCGAAAATTGGTCGTACCGGATTAGGATCGTTCCGTCCACGATATAAACTATGCTTTTCCCAGACGTATTGAGCGCTTCCATCGTGCAAGTGACCTCGGAGCTCCGCCGGGGTTCGTGGCACTACTCACATACACTTCGGGACGCTTCCACTGCCAAAAGTTCGAAGCAGAATTATCTTCAGAAAGTATCACCTCGGTCTCGGCATTCGGAGCATGAATTCCTGGCCAGACAGGGACCTTTTTCGTATTCCGAATGTGCAGATGTATCGACGTGGGAAATGAAGTGAACATGGTATCTTATATTATGAAATGAGTTAAAACATAATGCTTTCAAATCTTATAACTTGAAAGAGGAGAAGGTTTTGCTCTGAATGTCAGATTCGTTCTCTTATAGCATGTTCAACTTTTTTCTATGCTAACTTTCGAGGAATTGATTCGTTTCACTGGTTGTCCCTTTTGCTCTTTCCTTGAATTAAAAGGCAAATTCATAATAATTTAAGGAAGAGAAATTCGGTCTGTTTGGAAGCGATTTGCCACCCATCGGCTTCGACTCTTAGGAGAGGCACAGTTTGTTAGCATAAGCAGGAGCTTTAGAAAATGAATTGATTTTTTTAGAGGGTACGTTTCATGGGAAGGAAATAAAAAGTGTATCAGACGAAGGCAGATGTCGACCGGCATCACCCGGTCATCTTCGACTGCCTTACCGGGAGCGTGGCCGGGCGTCATAACTGGAGGGAGGGTGATGGGTCGGAGACGAAGTAAACGGTGATGTATCTTGGACCGGAGCAGAGGAAGAAGACATGGACTGTTGGATTTTGCCCGAGTGGCCGGCGGTACGAGGGACATGCACCGAGCACATGGCGCTTTCACTACAAAAGGCGCCATCTCGTGCCCGGAGGTCCCTTTCGCGGTGTCCTAACGCGCCCCATTATCCGAACAGCCAGGCGCCGTTTATGGCGTCCTTAGCGCCTCATCCAGAGCACGGAATTGACCGCCCGCAAACGACGAGTAAGATTCTCCGGCGCCCGACTGCTTGCTTTCCGACTGCTCTCACTTTCCGCGAGATTGGCCGGACCCCAAATTTAGCCGAGTCTCGACAAAGTCCCTCCAGTGCCGTCATCATGTCGATGCCTTGGCTGACTTGCTCGAGCGCTCGGTCTGAGAGCAGCACCTTTGCGAGGGAGAGGTCGAATCCCCGAGAGCTGAGCTCGAATTTTGACAGTCGCTGAAGCCTTGGGAAAAGCTTGTTGTGCTTTCTGTGAGCGAGAGGGAAATTCGAGAGATACTGCAGCCTTCACGTGAAATCTCTGTTCCTCTTGATTCGGCACGCTGGTGGGGGCTGCAGCAAAATATCGGCCGCAGAAGTCAAACCCCGTAGGCTATGGCGTTCTGCCTCGAGGCATGATTGACGAGGGCGAGTAGCGAAAAAGCTGCGGACGTGCTGCAAACCGAAGGTCAGAGTGCCACACATTTCTGCGATGCCGGGCCCGACCGACCGGGCCCCTCTCTTTGGCGTACATGATCTCTCTTCTCTGTCTGTGTCTGCCGAAATTCAGGTCGGTACGTCGCCATTGTCAACTCTGAACGCAACACTTCTGAGCTCGAGGCACGGCACCGTAAGCAGGGAGGTCAAAATCAGATTAGCCCCTCTCATCGCTCTTTGACATTGCTCGCGGTCGGTCCTAGACGACAGGAGGTGAGAGTATATCCCTTCCAGAGTTCTCAATCTGCCTCTTGTGGTCCTCCACTCGAGCTCCGTGCTGTGTCGCAAAAGCGGATTGCACGCACGATTGCAAGCATCGGAAAGCAGCACCGAGATTTTTCTGCACTTGGACGTCGAGCGAACCGATTCATGCTGTCGACGTCGTGGACCGACCCTGAGAAGAAAGTGGTTCGATGTCGTCCTGCTTTCCCGAAGGAAGGCGGCCGGGCATGCATGCAACCATGCATGTGACACACGGAGCTCGCTGCTCGGGTCGAACCGACGGGACATAGGGCGAGAACGACAGGAACGTGACGACGGAACTCAGCTTTTATCGATGTGCATGATGCGCAGAAGCTCTGGTCGATCTGATCTGCTGGTTCTGGTGATGCTGCCGAACGTCACAGCCGAAGGTCGTCTCCTCCGGTCGTGCAGGCGAGCCTCGAGCCCGCACGACAGAGACGTAGCACGCGACGTGTGCAGACTGCTCTCGATCCGTCATCCGGTGCCAGTGAAGGAAGTCAAAGGTGCATCAGCATCAGCGCCTGATCTTCGGAGTCGGTTGGGCTGCGAAACCAGTCCGGTCTGATCCATCGTCCCGAAACATGCGAGCTTCCACATCGAGCCGCTTGGCCCCACTCGTCGAGAAGAGAAAACACGCCCATTAAAAATCCCCATCAATTGCGCTCCGATTCATTCGGTCGAATCTTAAATTACGGCCAACAATAGAAATGTAAATTGCGATGGGCCCGATAATGAAGGCTACCCGAAGAACCCAGGCGTCGTCTGAACATTTATCTGATTAAGAAATTCATACGTCCACAGTCGACTCTCGTGGCCCCATGTCGACCGAGCAGCTGGTCACAGACAGTTGAAGGTTGTTAGGAATCGAAGGAATCCTTCAGGCTTCGGGTCATCTAAAAGTCAAATCGAATGTCCAGATTTAGCATGTGTTGGCCGCAGGCTAGCACGGCGGCAGCGAAATTGCAGGGTGGTGTGAGTGAGCCAATGAAGGTGATCTCGTTCGGGATTCTTATTCCAGTTTTCTGCAGTGTCCGTCTACCATTTCGGCGGCTTCCATCCAGACTCTGTTTCTGGAAGAATTCTTCAGGCGCTGACATTGCGGACATGTTCCCGGAACGAATACAAAGAAGCCCTGGAAGCACCCGCAGAACTAATGAAGAAGCAGACAATTGAAAATTCAGAAATAGCTGCTTCAAAATCTAAAATAGTCATGAGCCTGCTCTTAAACATTGAACCTGTCATCCACACCATTGAATTGAAAATTAGGGTCAAGTAAGTACAGAGTCAAGTGAAGAGAACCATGGATCCAAAATGCAAATGGCCGCAGGAGACATTGTAATCCTCTGTCGAATGAAGACGAATTGACAAACTCAGACAGGCACAGTCCAGAGAGGTTGCAGTTTTTAGATTTATTTTCGAAATTTGGACCCTCTGAAAAGAAAAACTCCAGCGAATCATGATCAGATCCAATTGCAGCTGCCGTCGCACACAGCCAAGTAATCCTTCGAGCTTTCTCGTATGGAGTTTCTGGATTATGATAGAGAGAACGGAAAACTCGACCCACGAAAATGTAAGAAACAAAAAAGTTGCTTCCTTTTAAGAGGAATGAGTAAGAGCAGGGACGTAGATAAAGTCAACTTGTTTCGAGAGGTATAAATAGTTAAGCCCTCTGATGACCTTCTAAACAGGGTCATAACGTAACCTCAAGGTATTGCTTTTTTCAAAAACTTATTTATAGGTGAGCAAAGAATTATAGCAAAATGTAACGACGAACGCCGCAAGTTTTGCATGGATGCAATTTTTAGGGAAAGATGGGGTCTGGATCCACATCATCACAATGGATTAAAAGTATGATTGCACCAGAGTTATCATATGTATCCAGGTGAAACCGGTGACCCTACTAAAGGGATTTGTTCTCTAGAGCACATTGTTTTGGGAGTTTATAATAACTCTTCTAGCTCGAACCTGTGAGCACCAGGCAGCATTTCCACTCACCGTTTCAGCTAAAAAATGCCCCAATTAACGGATGGACGGGAATTTATACTGAAAAATGAAGACAAAAATAATGTGAGTGAAGCTTTACTAGTGAGCCCTGAAGACGGGCGAAGTCGTCTCGCAAGTCTGGAGTTTATGAGAACAAGATCATGATCAGGTGACAGAACGCCTCGACGAGTCTTACTGTACTTCTGACATGGGACATTGACTCGGGAATAGCTGTGCTGGTGAGACCTGGGAGCAAAATAGTTTACACTTAATGATGAACGAATCTGACTAACTAACAGCTATTACAGGGTGGATGTATCATGGATGCTGTCGTCCGCCTTTCACCACAAATTTCACCTTTCGAGTATCGTCTTTCTTCGAGTACTCTCGTTTGAACTAAGAATGGGTGGGAAACAAAATGAATGAAGCATGTTCTTCGTTTTCCAGTTATTATTTACATAAGTTACATTGTTTGACAACATTCGATTGAGCAAACACCAACGGAGACAGCGTGGAGAAGGTAAGTAAACGTAGCGAGAGAATCACGATGGGGAATCGGAAGAGCATAACAGCGTATCCTCGATGTGCGCTAAATCCAAAAAAAATGAATGACAGCACGAGAGCGGGAGGCAAAAGGACTGCGCTCGTCTGAAGATTGCTCTAAAAACCTTCCTAAACCCTCAACCCTCTCCCACACTAAACCTTCTCAACAAAGCCAGAATTGCATGAAGACTGCGATTGCAAATAGGACAATGTAGTCGTATCGGAAGATGATGCAGAACTCGCTTGGTTCGTACAACCACAGTAGACGGACTGCCCACATGGCGAGCACTGACACTACGCAGTCGACGTCACTACAGCAACAGCAGTCCTTATCTGAATCTCAATCAGCGGCATGGTCGAAACTCTTACCACGTAGGCGACCCATTACAACACAATCCAACTTCTATTCGTGTGAGTCAGCAGATGGAATGCACAAAGAGCGAATCCTTCAGGTCACTTCGTATGATATATTCCCACATAGGCTTATCGCCCTTTAAAAATATAAATAATAAATAAGTATAAGAAGTTGATAATTAACCCTTAAAAAAAGAGTTAAATATGTATGTATATGTATCTATATATATTTATTTACTCCATGAGGACATTGGGGAATGTGGTATAACATTGAAGGCTTAATAAAAACTGAAGGTCCATGATGATTGCAGCGGATGCAGATCCATTTGGGAACTCGCGCGAGTGAATCTGCGAGCAAAGCAGTCTGATCAATTTCATGAACAGAAGACGATCGAAGTCATGCGGGAAAGCAAGTGGAAGCGTAAGATTCCGACGTTGCCCCAGTCAGGGTACATGAAACAGAAAGGAAGCGTGTGGGCATATCAATCTTGGACGACGACGGACGTCGACTGAGCCGATGAAGAACAGAGGCAGTTGATCGTAAGCAGTGAGATGAACAGCGGTAATTGTTAGCTTAGATCGTATCGATGCGAAAGAGAATTCAGATTCTATGATCAACAAACACAGCCAGCGTGCATCAATTTGCTCCCGCCATCTCCAATATTTTGTCAGGTCCATAGGTCCTCGTATTCCCGAGCAAGAGTTTAGTTCATAGTCACGACATTAGATTGTAATCCAGAATATGAGGACAGCTTATCTTGTTGAAGACGAAGAGCTGGATGCTGTGATCCTTGGTAAGGAGGGCTATAACGAAACTGAAGAGCTCGGGATTGAGCACACTGTCACTTGGCATACGGCACGGACAAGGAGACGCGATAAGCATCAACACTATGGCAGAACAGTTTGAAAGCAGAACAGCTCGAAGGCTTTCGCTTGGTAGTTGGCAAGAATGAGCATATGTGGCAAATATAAGCAGGAGCAACCAGAACTCCAGTAATTGGATATCACATCGTTCAAATATGAGATTCAATTCACTGCATCATGTGAATCATTATGTCTCGAACCGGGTGCTGTTCGGTGGATTCTTCGTTGACTTCGGTTGCTGGAAGAGTCTCCGTAAGTCCATCCTTGCTTTCTCCAATATGATCAACTTTTACTTGTTGTGAAATTTTCTCCTGCTGGTTAATAATTCCATCTTTGCTTCTTAAAGTAAAGATCGGAGAAGAAAATATGTAGATTTACTTCCGCTTGCATTTTACTGTTCTCTGTTTAGGTTTTGTGTTTGATCTTTGAACAAATTCATAGCGCATTGGTGATTGTCTACTCTCATTCTTTGCAGCCATCATTCCCTTCTCCTCAAAAGATTCCTTTGCAGTATCTGCCAGCTCCATATTTTGGATGTATTCTTGATATTGGATCTATTAAGATTCTTGTTGCAGTTTGATAAATTGACTCACATTTTTGTGACCCAACTCCGACACATGTCATGATTGAAGATTTCTCGTTTTTGTCATCCCAAGATGACAAAAACGAGAAATCTTCAATCATGACATGTGCCCTTTTGAGGTAATGTGTTTCCATGAAATCTTTTTATTGGAGTAACCAATATCAACCTCTCCTACTTACTAGGTTACAATGCACCCATTTACTTTATTTTTAACTTGATTCTATAGATGAAGTACACTATGAATGATATGGTAACATCCGTATCTGATAAATGCCTTCATCGCATACCGATATATTCATAGGATATAATATTTGAAGAAAGTGCAAAAATTTCGTTCAAGATTCTTTGCAATATAAAATTTTGGGGGCATGAGTATCATTGCTCCACTGTGACTCCACTTTCGTTCGAATATCAAAAATGAACTGCAAACACGTCCGCTCAGGCTTCTTAATGTTTTCTCGTATGAGAATCTTATTGAAGACTAGAAATTTTGATATGGGGATTTTGGTTCGTCTGGGATCTACTCGGGTGGTTTATAGATAGCCATATAATACGAAATATAAGGAGTATGTATTTATTGCAATTTCCTACATAGAGATAAAATATAGGAGCGGCTAGTTATCCCTCACGGACGGCTAATTAGCTCTCACTCTACTGTATGCAGTTATCTCATTGGTCTATGCATGGTTATAGAGTTGGTGGATGAATAACAACTACTTCTAAAATTTGATGCTCCACTTATAGTAGGGTGAGGGATAACTAACCACTCACTAAAATATTCAGTGTAGTATCATTTTAGGAGGATTGTTAAAATTCCTCCATGGATGAGGTTCATCACATACTGGAAAGATAGCATTGATAGGTGATGTTTATTCTGAACATAATGTTATCCCCGTATCCTCTATGGGACGTTGGAGCTGACGTGGGAGGCATAGTGATTTATCAAGATAGAAATTAGCGCCATCTTTTTCTTTTGGTCCACTGGTTGGAATTTTCTTGCCTGCTTTGGTTTTTGACCCCAGTCGATGTGTGGTTGCTCACCTTCACCTTCTTCTGATCACCTTCTATCCATGCGTCTACCTTTCAACATTGGGTGACATGTCAGAAGCTGCAAAGGTATTTCATATAAGCTTTTGCTTCGCTACGAAAAATTATGAATGGTTTTCTTACGTTTGTATACTTTTGCATCTACGAATTGTTTTTTCCAATATTAGCGTGGAAGAGAATACCCGTAGTGCTTGTCCCCGGACGCAAATTCTTATCTTGTTCTAAATGCTAGGATATCAACAATAATGGAACTCTCCTACACCAATCATTCTTGATTTACCTCTAGTATTCTTATAGGCATAGACTTTAACCTGGTAGCCATGAGTTATATAGCTCACAGTCTGTTTACATGGTCAGTAAGATATGCCATTTCTTGAGCTTAACAGTCGTCTAGAATTGTGAGGCTTTCATCTCTGTGCTCCGTATGTGCTTATAGTCTACTAGATCTTGTGCAAGAGCTTCCCGGCTCTGACGCTCACATTCCCTTTTCTTATAAGAGTATGTGTGCCACGAGTGTTATAACAATGTTCAAGTTTCCCGCTACCATAAACCTTCCTTCGAAATGGAGATCCTCCTTCAACGATGAGTTTTTTACATTATTCTGGGCCATGGCGGCCACTGCTACTAACATCATAGAAGCATTGCTGTAAAATTTCTTCTAAGAATAGTTGCCATGCCGTGTAGAGCCCTGATATTGTTAAATATCAAGCGAGACCTCCCAATGGATTTCATTCCGGATGACTTTGCCCTCATTCTGCCACTCTAAAGTCGTTTACGTAAACACCTCTGCATATTGGGATTGTACATCCACCAATGTTTGTGAAGTGTAACCTGTTACAAACTCTTTGAAGTATATAATTGAGTTTGGATTCCAAAAACTTTCCTCCCTTGCAGCCGAGAAAAATAGAATTTGAAACTCAATTTGAGCTTATAATTGTGACAATGTTAGTGCAGGTGACACCTTGGATGGGTCATTTGTGAAGCTGTATTGCAAGATGTTACGTTTATGTGCTGTACAGTAACTCACAAGCGGATGGGAGATGCGTCTCGATTCTAGTTGGGTTCTGAAAAATATCATGCAAGGCCTTCACCTGGCTAGGTCCAGTGTCGATATTCGCTAGGAGGATTAACAATCAACTGCAGTTAATGCAGGTGGCTGGCAGGTGAAATGGCAGAGGCTGAGGCAGAACGAATTGTCATTGTTGATGGTCGCTGGATGCCCTTATTCCGTAGGGCTGGCACCCCTGTACAGCTGACTTAGTTTCCCACAACAATCATGACGGCCCCTGGAAAGCCAATCACTTAAGTTTCCACCGATTTCCTGCTGTTGGTGTTAATCTGCACGTCTGCGTCTATTCGTTTCTACTAAGTTGCCACCATTTGTGCTCATCGGTCCTCTTCTTCCCATCGGCTACCACTCAACTCAGCATTAAACCTTTACTTGCATTCTGCCATTGAGACGGCCAAACAGCGATCAAAACTATTCAAAGGTTATCAAGTTCTTCCTAGCAATGAACGTCGTTCTCTCGCCCATGGGGTTTTCGTGAAAGTGGATCGCAAGGCAAAATGAGAATTGAAATGGGCACGGGCGATGCAGCTGATTCCAACAAGAGGATAACAGCAGGTGCCATCCCAGGTTTCGCACCCACTACAACCACAGTTTTCTTCTTGATGTCCAACTGCTCCTGAACGAGTTCGTAGTGCTTAAAAAAATGGTAGAGTGGAGTTGAAGGACAGATGAAATCAATGATTCCAAGACTGAAGAGCTTCCAAAGATAAAGGCGAATAATCCATGCTTACACTATTGCATGATGAAGAAAGTCGCTCAACTACTACACAGCAACAGAAGGCTGGAACCCTACCAAGACGCTGGTAAAACTATCCAATTCGATGTGAATTTCCGATAAAAAAGTACCAACTGAAGGCAGGAAGTAGCTAACCATATTGTTACCATCTGCATCTACTGAAGGGAAGATAGAGTCATCCTCACCACCTCCCTTGTACAGATGGTGGTATCATTATATTGGGACCCAGTGACTGTTGTCCACGACGTAGACAATCGTAGTGAGAGGTTTGCAAAACCTTAGTACCTAGAATATCACATCCAAACCTTGTAACAACGCAATGTACTAGTGATGACTAAGCCTTCTTTTGTCAGCAGTGAGTGGGTCTATAAGACTGAATCCACTTTGGATCCTCTGTTCAACAGAGGAGGAAGGTGGTGGCCAATGGCTTTCATTAGCAAGAAGGGTGAACTTACGGAAAGAACCTACAAATGTAAGATCAACAGAATCTGAAGGCCTTGAAATAAAAGCTCGAATGTTGAATGTTAAGAACAATTTCTTTGGACACGTACATTACTGTGTTCAAGATTTTCCAAAGTAGAGTCTCACCATGAACTCTGCGTGAAAGATGTGCAGCTTCCTAACAGAATGTTCAGAAACATGGAGAATTGAGATGCAAAGCCCTTTCCTGTAATGAGTTCTGTTGAACAACACGCCTGATCTACTGGATAATCTTTTTCACCCGGAACAACGGGATTACACAAGAAGATTGATACGTTTCCTACGTTACAACGTTCGTTCGAAGAGCAAACGTAGCCATTTGATGAGTGAGTAGTTCGTGGTAGCCCATGTCCACATATCAGAGACTCATATACTAGGTCCTCATCAACTGGATCGAAACCTGATGCGAACATCCCACTATTGCTACTGCTCCTGTACAAAGAATTCCTCAAGAGGGCTGCTGACATATTGGGAATGCGGGGAAGAGTTCAAGCATGCCCACTTTCTAGTGTGATTTTAGCCTCTGGACTTCCATCGAGCACCATTATAATCAGCCTACCCTTTTCTGGTTAGCATTTCCGTATCATTAATAGTTTTTCGTTGGTTTTATCGATTAAATTACGACAGCGACGACTTGGATTGATTCTGCTGCTGCCTGCATGTTACGTATACTGTCTAAGTGACAAGCTTTCAAATCTTGACCTCGTTTGGCCTGTGCAGATAAGATTCATTTCCTTGTCTGAGCATACCTTTAAAAAAAAATTCGTCATATCACCTGACGCTAGTACTGAGTACTTGTACTCTGCTAAGTAAATATGTTCAGAATTCAACTAAGGATGTAACAGAAATTCATTAACAGTAAACTGTAAAATGTGATGACTATTCGTTAGCAGATGTAAGTTCTTACTTCAGAGTTGCCTGAAGGGACAAGCAGTCACCAGCCACTAATCTAGGCTCATTTTGGAGCCTAGACACTAGACTGTCTAAGCTCCAAGTTGACCCTGAAGATTGGATGTATTGCTGGTATGTCGGTGAAGTATTTAGATCAAAAAGTACACCTCAGGCATTGATTGGGAGTTGTTGGGAGTATACCTGGCCTGGAACCATGGAGAGTTCTGACTTCTTATCCAAGAGTTAGACTGAATGGTAGAAAACTCTGGCAAGTGCATGGGTGTACAGAACCTTTGGAGTCTCCTGCACTTTCCATCGTTTTCTCCCACTCAGTTCAACCCTCTAGTAGGTTCTGACTAGAAATACTGAGGTGAAAACCTTCTGTGCGAGAAACACGATCTGCAAAAGATCCACCTTGTTCTAGCCTGCAAGCAACTCAGTATCCAATACAAATATGTGAGACTCATCTTTTGACGATGACGGTAATAAATTACAAAAAGATATCAACAGTTTCACTTCATGAAACTGACAAATTTATCAAGGTTCAGACGATAAGAGCAGACAACGGAGCAGACCACAAGAAAGAGAACACCATGAATCCAGAAATACTTCCAAATCTCCATGAACAGTTTCTTTCACTTCAACATACACTTAAGAATGGGAAGGGTAACTTTCTTCGCTCTTTATCCATTCACTTCCGGATTCAACCATTGACTTGAAGCAGAATACAAGGCACTACGTGTAGCAGTGTGTGGAGAAAACTTCAGAGACAGAGAAGGCTTCTTTCTTGTTGGTAAAATAATCAAGGTCCTACTACTGCTTGATGAAACTCAATCGACGAATCAGAATTGGCACAATCTTGTTATTCGTGCTAGGGCATATGAAAATCCTCGTCCCCTTCATTGCATCCATTGTGAAGGGCGAGAGTACTCCAAGCAAAGCAGCAAAAAAGTTTGTTGAAATGGATTTAAACTTCTTTGCTAAAGTGATTGTCTGTCTGTGGTACAGAAAATACTCAATAACAGATTCGAGTTCGAAGGAATTTACAAAATCTACGAGTCAAATTCTGTTAACAAAATTTCATTGTTAAAAATTGAAGGAGAGTGTGTCCAAACATCTGCTCGTGTCACATACTACGCTACCACAGCTTTCCAGCTTGCGTATCACGCTGTTTTCTTTTGAAATGCACGTTCGTATAATATGGAATCAATGTTGAGCACAAGAAATTCTGGGCCATAACAACCTCACAGAAAAGAAAAATGGTGGGGAGCTAGTGACAAGGAAGCCAAAGTGAGGAGTTATGGAGCAGCAGGATGAAAACGAGAGAGCTGTGGAGACTGCAGAGGATGTCTTGAAATTGGTCTTGGCATATGAGTATGGACCCCATGAGGAGCCCTGTATGGTAGCTCGAGGGTACTTACTCATATCGCAAGACCAAGCTTCAAGATCATTGAAATCGTGACGGTCAGCTTGAACGAGTCCGAAGCTTGGTTCCAGATCATTTCAGAGTGAAGCCAGCGATTTCTTGCGGAATTGGTGACTACCTTCAATACGCGATCGAACTTCGGCAACGGGCTCCTCGGAGCTTTCCCCCTGCTGTGATCGGTAAGTGACGTCAACACAGAGGCTGTTTAGAAAAGTAATCCGGTTGATCGCTCGAACACGGAGAAATTTGTGAAAATGGTTGAAAGATCGAAGAATTTCTTGGAGCAGTCTGCTTGAGAAAAGACGGTCATGCTGGCGTCTTTCAGCTCTCATCCTGGTTACAGAAGGGAGACAGGTGTGCAGCGCTAAATTTCTCGCATCTTTCCCGAACATTTGATTTCTTTGAGACACAGGAGACGCATGGAATGAAAACCCGATGGCAGATAATCCTCTGGAGAATCGAGAGGAACGGCCGATTCGGGAGAGAGGCAGCCCTGAGGCAAGGTAACCGAGAAAGGACTTGCATAAAGACCTTCCCATCAGCTGATTCCCTCTCGAACAGCTCAAAAGCCCAAGGATGAGGAATGAACAATGGAATCATCGAATATGTAAGAAACGCACGACCTAAAACACATCAGGGTACGCAGCCCGACTGCTCAGGGAAACCTTTCACATTCTGTCTTTGGCTGAACAAACTTTTATTTCTTTCGGACAATCAATGTTTCTTTCGACTTTCAAACATTTGTATGACAAAGTGGTGCAAGAGACTTCACGAAAACGATCATTTCTGTTCACAGAAGCTTTAAAGTTCGTTCACTGACAGCGCTCGACGAAAGGAACAGATTCAAGACTCGCTATGACGAAGTGCAAGGGAGTACTTACCAGAAAAGAGTGTCGCGTTCCGCAACTGATAATGGACTCGACAGAGGAGATTCAACTTCAGCTGTAACTAAGCTTTGCGTAGATCCAAACTATCGGAACGTGTGGGTGGAAGGTGTCGAATCTTACCTTTTCAGCGAAGGCATGGCTTCGTTGAGCGCCCAGTACACACTTGTCGTCTGCTCACTTGGCAACAAGTTCGATGAACTTCTCTATTCATGTCCACATTTGTTCGCAAGCTTATTACTTTCATCTCCCATTGCCTGGTGATCACCGATGTCTCGGAGGTCGTTATCCAGGACTTCAAACATCTGATCACCGAGGACGAAGGTTCAAAGATTTCAGCGAGCTTCGCCGGTGCTAGGGCACGCATTGCAGAACCTTGTCCACTTGCACTGAAGCAGCCTCAAGTTGTGAGATTGCATCATCATACTTCTCAAGAGTGATCTCCGAGTCGACTGTGTCAAACTACCGAACCTTCCTGACGCGTTCGAGCTCTAAGTCGATCAAACTGCTGGCTGCGGCCGTGGACTCGGAGCCATAGACCTTCATCTTGTTGCCCCTCATTTCCCGATGGAAGTGACAATCTCTGAGCAGCATCAGACTCATGACCTGACTTCGACTATCAAGTGCCAAACTCTTTATTACTGAGACTCGCTTCTCCCAAACTCCACGCTCCACAAAATCCACATCAACAAATGCGATGTCAGCCAAGACAGAAACCTCCGAAGGCTCCCAGTGCGCTTCGGTGCCTGCGAGTGCTGATCCCGATTCAGGCAAACAGCCATCGACCCTTGAGGCGTGCCCCCCGACCACGAGGGTACGCTTTTCTCCAACACAAAATCGACAATGCTCGCACACGATTCCTCGCTCCGATTGAGAGCCATCTTTATGTGGACAGTTTAAGTGACAACGCTGAATCTCTTGGTCAGATTTCCATAATCATACAACGACGCCCCATCAGCCGCGCCTGTGCTGTTGTGATATCCTAAATCGGACTCTGAGAGCTATACTTGCCAGGTATACTGTCGAGGATCCACCCAAACAATCGACGCACCATTTCCAGCCAGACGAAACCATGTCCACAAGCTCTGGTCGAAGTACTATCTCGAAAAGATGCACATGTACTGCAGTCGTGTTGTCTTGAATACTCCTGTCACTTTACGGTCGAAGAAGTGATGCTTCTCCTTTTATGTTTCTCGTCAGGAACAGAATCTCTTCATGTGTATGTGGGAACATTCCATCGATCCGACTTTGCTCGTGCTCCAGAAGTGTCTGTCTACTTCGGTGCTTACTCAATTCAGCTTCGTAAGCTTTATGCTAGATAAAAAGTCGGTGCGTCTTGATGGGGTCTTCCCAACCTTTCTTGTTATCTTCTTCATGCCACCGTCTCAAGAGTGAGTTTGGGTTGAATGTTACACTTTCGTAAGGTACTCTTCAGCCAGTACTGAACAGCAGATCAAGGTTTCGCTGGCATTAATCACGACTGTCTAGATCAGTTCGGCTGAGCTATATGTCACGCCTCATGCAAGGTCATGTTTGAGAGATGGCAGGAACACTGACTCAATAACAGTCTAATTTGATGTGCGAGGATGACTTTATAGAGAGAAAAGGTACAATGTAGATTCAGGGTAGGATATTCAGACCAATCATAAAGATCTCCTCTCCGCGAGAAAATCGACGATCTGTTATTTTTTACATCTCAGGATAGCTGCAATTTAACTCAGAGCTGAGGGTGTAGTCTGCGTTGAGTGGAAGGTGCAGCTGAAGCTAGTGAAAGTTATGGACCATAACTGGTGAGTGAGTGCCATTGAAAGAAAGATTCTCCGGATAGGCATTCTCAATTTTTGAGGTCCGAGGTTGTGTGGAAGGATGCCAACTCATGTCGACTTTAGTGGAATCTTTCGATGGAGCTTTGTCTCACTTCGCGGATCCGAACAGAACTGACCTCATGATGAAGATCAGATGTGGCTGTTTGGATTAAAGGGTGTTACTTCTTCGGGTAGGTACTGAAGAATGTGTGGCAGTTCTCGTGAGCTTTACTGCAAGAATGTTAGGATTTATGCTGTGCAGGGTGGGCAGGGTGCCCTGTAATCTCTCAGATGGATGATCTGTGTTGATCCAAATTGACTTTAGTTTCCCTTTATAGGATGTGCAGCAGCCAGATGGACTGCTTTCGTGCATCTACTCTTCCAACACAAGGTTCGCTTCGAGTTAATTTCGAACCACACGGAACTCTCAGGTGTGCAGCCTGTACTTGGAGTTATATGGACAAATTCAAGGACTACATTTCAGGTGGCTGGAACGTAGTCCTTGATTGCCAGCGCACTCGTTTGAATCTGTTGCAGGATGCTTCCTCATCATCACTAGAAATTGCGAGACGAGAGAAAGGGAGAAGTTTATTGCAATGCTGGCTGAGGCGTTAAGCTGAAAGGCAGTTCTCCGCTAGATCTTGTCGAGAGCAAAATGCTGAATATCGACACGAAGTCTACTCTGAACTTGCCAGTGCTTCTCGGTTGACCGTACTTACTCAGATATCATCAAGAGACTGTATCAGGCCTAGGATGAACTGAAGTTATTCATATTTATTGCTGTAGAAAAGACTTTTAGCTGCCAGCTTCTATCGATAAAGATTAGTCGCAGCTACCAACTATTTGCCAAAGATTATTCACACTGAGACAGAAGTGGATCAGAAATTCATACCAGGTAGAAATCTGGAAGTTATGACGGCACAATTTACTCTGGGTGATGAGGAACCGCAAGCACATTTACTCTCAGAGGTGGAAACAATCCGTCTGTTGGAAACTCGGTGAATGAGCTAGAGCTAGTACAAAGAGCAGTTGGAGTAAAGTTGAGAGTCTCACGAGAGTCAAACGTGGAGAGGAAAAAGATTCCGTTTGTCTACTCTAGAGAAGATTTTTTAACTGACACACTGACTCCCTGTATAGAGCTTTTGTGTAGACTGATCGTGGAGTTAGTTGTCAATGCTCATGACTTCTAACGAACAAGTTGGAACAGCTGATGGAGATTACAACATTGTTGTGTGATTCACGTTGACTGCATAGGAAGTCGTTGCAACAGACTATTTAAGGTGTGAAGGAACTCAATACCTGCTCTCCTATTCATTACGAGGTTATACCACTTGAGTTGCGAGAAGTGCAGGTCGTTACAAAATAGTGCCACAGTGCTCTCAGTAGAAGAAATTCTTGTGTACTTGTTTGAAACTTTGGCAATGATTGTAACAAGACATATTTCTACCAGCAAGTTAATTCTCCAAGATTCTCACGGAGGTCATCTGCGGAGACACAGTCGTGTTTGTGGAGAAAGAGATTTTGTGAAGGTAGGAGTAACTGAAGTATCCATCAGGAATTGCTCGGAATCCAAACAGTGTCGTCCAGACTTTCCGTCACAATTGAAACAAACTTTCTGTCTCTTAAATGGGGTCGTGGATGAAGAGGTTACCGGTGGGGGCGAGCCGTATCATATATCTGATGACAATGTATATTTATGCCCAGAAAAGGTCAGGATATGCTATCCAGTCGTTTTGTTCAAAGGTGTAATAGTATTCTCACATAAGCGCTTAAACATGGTTCTCTGTTCATATACGTGTCATCTGCTTTGGAGTCCTGGGAAGTCAAAGGTGCTGCCTACAAGATGCTTTCAGTTTTGGATATGTTGAGATATGTAGACAGAAATGTCCATCTGTTCATGCAAGAAAAAAACCGTGGACGTTGTCTATGCTTTACTTGCCGGTTTATCCACTACGCACAAATGGAAGTGTCTGGCCACCTGATGACATCTGTATTGAAGCATATTGAGAGCATCGAAGTCGCTTTTCCCCTGCATTAGACATAGAATATGAATATAGGAAAGGACGAAAGGTGTGCAAGACTCTTTTGGAGAAAATCCGAACAGTCCACGTGATCATGCAAAAGATACTCAGAGCAGAAAGTGTTTCGTGACACACTTCCATAAAATCTGCACGGAAGTCCTAGCAAGTACACCATGTATTGACTGGAGGGCATCACATAGAACAGCAAGCGAGGGATTTTCCTGGACTGCATTAGTTCCCTTGCCTTGCATTCCCCCTTGGGTTCGTATTTCATATCACAACGCAAAATATTCAACTCACTAGCCTCGATTGGAACTGACTTCCCTCATGTGCATCAGGAGATTCATTATTATTTATTCTTCATCAGGCAAAAGTCCGTTCTACCTCCTCCATTCCGGTACTCAACCTCATTGCCTCAATGGAGGACAATGTAACTGCGGCATAGGAGGCGAGGCTTTGAAGCAAATGTCGCACTCCAATCTGGTAGACGAGATCGATTTTTTCACACCAGTAGATGTCACCATAAGAAAGCCTATACAAACGAGCCAAAAGCAGCATGGTTTGTCTTTCCAAGTGGACCTTTCACTGGTAGGTCCACTGGGAAGTGCAAAGGATGAGCATGTCCTACGATACAAGAAATGTACAGAGGCTGCAGATCTGCCAGTCGAGAGGTACGTGACCTACAAAAGGCAAGCGAACTTTCATGTTCATTTGCAGATTTTAGGGGATCTTTTCCTAGCAAGTTCAAGATAAGGACACGGGAGGAAGGCTATAGATTCTCGAGAATCTGACAAGGAGCATGAAAAGGTGGCCAAAAAATCTTCGGAGATGATGAAGACTCTACGAGCCCTGAATGTGGATATTCCGATGGATCAAACTTGGTGCCCTCATTGACACATGGAGCCCGAACAGCGCATTTCGATAGACCACCATCCCAGAGCCTACTTCTCGATTCCAAAAGTCGCATCATCGTCGGCAGCTGCCGGTCATGTCGAGAATCTGCCGAAAGCCCACTTTAAGAAGAAAACATCTTTCCAAATTGAAGTTGTCGACGTAGTTCAGCTCCGAGATTGCTGAAAAGTCACGACGACAAGCTCACAGCAAACGCTGCTCGTCAGGAGTGAACTTGCGTGTATGGCTGGATCAGATCACAAGCGTTTCTTCCTCGACTTCCGAAGTCAATCTGAACAACGGAATAAAACGCATCTTTCGCTCCAAACCAGAATAACCAAATTAGGTGCAACAGTACGAGACTCCGAACTGGATGAATTTGTCGATAAGGCAGAAAGTCGCTGTAGCCGAAAGAAAGCATGTTAAACATGGCCCTGGAGAGCAGGGCGGAACGAGAGCCGTTAGCGCTGGGGGACGAGATCTAGTCAGCTGAGAGAGCAGGGCTCCGCCATAGCCGGGACGAAATCCGGTCACAAACCTCTGTGCTCTCATCTGCAATGGAATGGGAAGGCGAGCGAGCCTCGCAATCTACCTTTTGTACATTGTACATTGTACATGGCCGTAATGGTGTGCTTCCCGTATTTGGTGCCACAGTTGTCGATGCAACCAAGCTGTCGAAGAGATGAGCCCCCGACTTTTGGCCATTTCACTTTACTTTGTTATGAGGGGCCACGTAAAAAGCAGAAATTTGAGAAGATCGATCGAGCCTTATAAAGATTACACCAAAGGCTAATCAACAATGATATATATATATATATATATATATATACTGCACGTTGTACATCGTGAGAATCTTACGATAGTCTACACAATTAAATCCTGCAAACATTGGTTCATCAAATTGTCAAGGTTTTTCAATCCATATTAATCTAAAGCTAAATGAACAAAGAGTTCAACACTCGTACTGTCTTTACATTTTAGGAGAGCTCGGAAGGAAATACATGCCACCGATACATGAAGATGGCTATATGTCACGTTTTGCATCGATGATCACGAAGTCTCATACATAGACATGGTGATCTCCACTTGATGTTAATTTGTTTCAGATTTAGTTATTGCAAGACATACAAATCCAGGGTGGATCTGTATGAATTGCATTCTCAAGTGGACGTGAGCTAGTAATTTAAAGTTTGGTTCAACCCAAGAATGAATGTGGAATTTTCAAAAGAATGAATTTATGAAGATAAAATGTAGAACTCTCGTCTTTTTGCTTAAAGTAAAGTAGAAATTATGTTATATTGAGCATCTCTCTTCTTCTAATGTTAGAATCCGTAGATGTGCAATATTTAATCTTGTATCCACATCCGTCATATTCATTTCAATAGTGAAGATGAGAGTTCTGAATATATCTGCAGCGACATGTTGAAAACAAAACAATGACTAAAAAAAGGAAATAGTCATGATCTCCTTAAATAGTCTTTGAAAAAATGAATATGTTCAAAGATAATGAACATATCTTTGAACATGAAATCGAAAAAGAACTGTACATGTTCAAAATTTCCAATCACAACTTTGGATGTATTTTTTCCAATGATGTCATCAAAAATACACTTGATACTCTAGCGACGGATTACTAGAATGATACAAAACATCCGTGATAATGAACTGAAGGGATCAACAAGGAATATTCGAAGACTATAGATCAAGTTTAATCTACTTATCTCCTAAGAGAAAAACTCAATATATGTTTACTACATACTCATAGATGCACGATAAAAATGTATTGCAGAATGCTTGGATTTAATTGGCATTTTAACAATATATAAGTACTCTCGTTAATCTCACATATTCTTGTATTTGAATATAAGTATATTTTCATTCTTATTTCATTTGGACATGAAAATTTCAAATGAAGTTAAATTATACTTTGACATCTTGATCATCACATTAACTCTCAAACTTATTAATCAAGTAATCAAAGGCAATTAACATGACTTTCTTCCAACATAATTAACATGCCTTATAATGTCTCGATCGTTAAATTCTTCTAAATAGAGTAATCGCATGACAGTTTGAAAGCAGTATACATGCAAAAAAATATAGTATTTTAAGTAGCGAAAAGCTGGATAAAATATAACTGTCTCTCCTAAATAAACATACTCACAAATACTAAGATCATCGATTGAAAAAAAATATAATTCAATGTTTCTTGATAGAGATTCAAGCATCTCTATTGGTATCTTCAAAGTATATGCATGCTAGATAATGTAAAAATCAGTTAAAAAATCTTTTTGCAACAAAATACTTCTCAATATGTATGTGACCAGTTTAAATGTTCAAAATATTGACTCACAATCGTCGAAGGTTGCTATGTCGTCGGACTATTACCAGAAAATAGTTCAATCCATGCGCAAAACTCTTTGATTTCTAGTTTACACACCTTCATAGATCCAACACACTTTTTTTTATAGCAACTCAAACATCATCATGTGGATAAGAAAGATGAATCCACGCTAGCTAGCCTGTGAATAGAATTATGAGAGGACTCATAGGGTAAAAACCAGACATCTCGGCTCTCCTCTATGATATATATGTGTACATGAAACATATCATTCAAAATTGAACATGATTGAGATGCTAGTCAATTTCACAACTTAATCTATGATCATGGACAATCAACGAAGAAAAGTGTAAAGTTAGCGAGACATGTTGATATTATATTCATCCTCAAGTCAATTTCCAATGTTCCCTCATGATCTTTGTGAAATTTTTTCTCACGTGACTTCTTACCAGTCTAGGAGAATAAAACACAAAAAATATCTACATTGTATATCATGAACGCAAACAAAGCAATGACTAGCATAACAGGATTGTTAATGTATAAATTTTTCCATTTGCAAATTCATGAAATTAATACACACTTCTCATCTAAAACACAAATCTCCGAAGCCTATGCAATCTAAAACTCAAAGCTTTTTTTTCATTTTCTTCAAAGCATAGCATTAAAAAAACGTCAACACTAATAAATTTTTTAATTTATCGTTTTTTGTGGATGGCATAATGGAAATAAATTTTTTTTGAAGAAATTACATTTAAACTCCCACATATATCTTGAACACTATTCAAGCCCACGAACATAACAACAAGTTGGGCAATATAACAAGCAAATCATAAATGGCGTCAAAAGTAAAAGTTTATGAGAACCAAAATAAACACTCCATGTTCGACAAACCATGAGATTAAAATGCACGAATAACTAATCCACATTGGAAATTCACTAAAATCACTAAATTCACATTCCCTGCGCGTGGCGGCGTTCTCATTAAGAGCCGTCATTGTCATGAACTTGGCTTTATCCGCCGCAGAGAGAGAGAGCTCGTCGAATCCGCAGATGCCATAGCCTGCGACGAGAGGGATGGCGACTGCACATTGACCTGCGCAGTTGCTCGCAACGAGGAAAGATCCAAATTATCGGCCGGATGTCAGAAGGGCGGAGTTGGTGTTGCCGAATTTTTGAGGATTGCCATGAGCCACGCTCGGAGCAATGCGAGAGTGAAATCGGGGAGTAATTTCGAGAAAGTGCACGGTAAGTGCAGCGAGGAGCTATGTTTGGGTGCGATGGTAGTGCACGCCGCGACGAGCTGAATCGAGGAGGTGTCAGAAGTCGGGGCTATTAAATGCGGAGATCTGCCGTTGCCTCGGAAGGTTGTTCCGATGGTTGAGTGGGATATGAGATTCGGTGCAAGTTTCGAAGAGGCGAGAATAATAAGAAAGAAGTTAGAGCATGTCGAGGGAGGGAGGAGGTCAGTCGGTCGGTCTGCTGGACTGCAATCCGATTTCGACATGGGCCTCGGCTCGAGGGCCAGTGTGTGCTGTACTGCGCGGCAGACTGTGCAGACACACGCAATGGCGGCAGAGACCGACTGTGGTCACCGCCACCCGCCTCGCCTTCGGAAGGCAGATAATACCCTGGACGCCAAGAACGTCGTCGCACGCTCGATTCTTCTGGATTTGGCGTCGAGGCCGGCGTCTCGTGCAGACCCTAAATAGAAACTCGTCTCCCTATTTGGCTAATTCCTAATTTGCCGCCCAAATGACAACGGACCTCTAAACGGATTCGTGGTGTTTCGGGCTCCAAGAAACCGGAATTTCACGAGATTGGTGCTGCGGTGCAGCTGCCCTAGGGTGCACCACTTAAATGGACACCTTCGAGCAGGAAGGAGGAAGGAATTTTTTGAACACTGGAAGACAAGCAATTTCGGATAGATGGAGGAGAAGAACAAGTGCGCGCTGCGGACCATCCATCCATCCATCCATTCATCCACGTTTGGTCTAGATGCAAGAAGAAGTGTGTCGAGACAATGTTGCAGTGGATAATGGGTTGCTGCGTGATATGATGAAATGCCAAAAGAGGAAAAGCCCAAAAGAAAAAGTCTCAAAGCTGTAGAAAGTGTCCCGGAGGTCGAGGGGAGATGCTTACGAGAGAATCATTCGTGATTGTACGACGCGAGAAAAAACAGCCTGCGAAGAGGAGCTTCCCATAGGGTTTGTGGAGCGGCGAGGAAGAGGCCCACACTTCACAAGGGCCACGGCCGGTCTCCGGCAATGGGGACCGTGAAACGCATCTGATGGTCTTGTGGCACCGAAGGGATCAGAGGTTCGAGCCACGAAACAAATATACAATGTAAAAAATCAGACGCGAAAAGTGGTGAAGTGGTGGTCAAGATGCGGACTAACACATCTAAATAGACGCCTTCTAAAGTGTAGAAGTAATGAACGGAGTTCATAGCACATGAACTCGACTATTGTTGATGGGTTTACCGGTGGCTCTTGCTGAATTAGGCATGGCACGGACCTGTATGGATGAGTACCGGTCCCGGGGAAGGTAGAAGCATGCAAGCGAAGATATGATGGATTGAGCGAGCGGTGGTGCTGAGCCACAGTCAAGAGAAATTTCTTTTCCGTGTAAGGGTGGGGTCAAGGATATTGTTTCTGCCGTTTGTTGCAAGGGGTCCATCCCTCGACTGGGCACCAAATCTAGGGCAGCGAGACAATTGTAAGAGAACTACGATCTGGGCCACGTGGTTGCGAAGCTGTTTTCGGAGGCGGGGCTCCACTCTCCAGTCCTCCTGCATGTCAGGACGAAGAATCGCCCCTACGACCAATTTGCTTCTTCTTCTTCTGCTTGCTTAATCATCATCACCATCATCAGCTACTGCTGCTGCTGCTCACGGACTTCTAAATTGATCTCCTCACTATTGTAGGTGTCCGTGGCTCCCTTCGTGCTCATTCGCAGTCCTTCGAACTTGCCTATCACTGTCCCCCCTTTCCTTCCTCCATCTCTGATCTTCTGCATCACAGTGCTCGGGGCCGTAGTCAAGGTCCCCACCCCACCACGCCTTTGTCCTCAAGTCAGGCCTGGCTGGGGCACCCAATTGGATCTCGACCTCGCGAAGTGCCCAGTTAAAGTGCGCCAGGACGAAAGGCAGTAAAAGTAAAGTAGGTCAATCTCCCCCTCTGGCCATGTCCTGATCCCCCATTTTTGTCCGCTCTGAAGTCTGCATTGCTGCAGCAGATGGAGCTTCGTTGAATGATTCGGCCGAACCCGAACATTTGTCCTCTATTTCTCCGTTTCTTTCCTCATTTCTCCGGGGTTTCTAAGTTCTGGGTTCTAAGTTCTAGTTTGGATCCGAAACCGGCAGACTGTGTGCTAGTGCCGCCATGGTTGAAAGCGTTTTAGCCCCAAGATCTCCCTTACTTGGTCTGAACAGCTTGCAACAGACCGTAGCTAGATATGGTGGCCCAGATAGCTGGCGCTTTCTAGCTTTTCTCTCGTCCGCTGTCTTAGGACGGTTTGTTTTTTCTGGGCTTGATTCACCGACGTGGGTAAATTGAGAGTGCGCAGATTCGGCAGACGGGAGATTGAAGGGAGAGGGAGCTTTTTAGCGTCGTAGGGCTGGTCGCAGAGGAGATGAACCAGGGTATCGGCCGAAGTACCACGGAACGATACTCTGCAGTCTGGAAGATGGAGAGAGCAAGTGCCCAGTCTGAGCAGATTCGCAGCAGCAGTGAGGCATAAATTGAGTCGAAGACAGTTCGATCGATTGAGTCGGACTGGGAGTTGCGGAATTCTGAACTCGCCATGGGAATGTTTGGAATTCCCTCCGCGGGCTAAATTAGACCCCGAGGCGTGGCATCAGCAGGCGCAGCTGCAGTTGTGGGGGAGGGAAGGCGGGCCGGTGCGAAGGAATTGGAGCGGCAGCACAAAAATTCGAGATGGGCAACACTCGATCGAAGGAGGAGCAGATGCTGTTCGATGAAAACGGAGAGAGGGAGCGCGGTTTCGACAAGCAGCTTTTTCTCTCCCTGAAAGTCCACCAGACGGAGGGCAATGTCATGCCCACCGATTACTCGCCCTACGTCACAGGCTCCTTGCCCTGCTTGGGCAGCTGGAACCCGTCCAAAGCGGTTTGCCTCTTTCCTCTGTTCGATGAATTTTTCCGGTTGATGAATTCTGCCTAGAACCCGCCAATTGGAACAAACTCATAGCGTCAAAATCTTTGAAAGAAATATCGATTATCAGTAGCTCGTGATCCTTGATTTTCTGGTTGAATTCAGTTGTTGCGGGAAGGCAAGCAGTTGCAGAATTAGAGGACTCTAGTAGTTTTTTGATGGTTTTACGCGTTGAACTTTCAAAGCAGCCTTCAATTCAGAACCTGCAGTCGACACAATTTTCTACTTGAGCTATTTCAACTTCCCTTGACTTCGATTCTTTGCATGCCTTGGTTTGAAGCACAACTGCAGTTTACGCTGGCCACGAGGGCTAGCAAGAGATTACGTACAATAATCCAATTGCTGAAAATCAATAGACAGAATTCCCCATTCGGTGTTGGATTGTCGAATCTGCAGAGTGCTTTTCCTGTCTTCGAGACCGCTTGCTGCCATTCTTTGAAGAATCGGTTTTCTTTCCTTTGCGGAGCAGGTTGCGCTGGAACGGCAGACCACCAACATGTGGGAGCTCAGCTTCGTCATACCCGCCGATCATGGTAAAACGAACATTCCTCCACCTTCTCGCTCTGAAATTCGCCTCCTTAGCGTTTCGGATATGCGAGTGTTGGGCTGACGTGCAGGTTGCGATGCCAGCCAAATCGCGGTCGCGAAATCCTCCCCTCCGTGCACCACTCTGCCTCTCGTCATGCGCCACAACCCGTAGACAAAACCGAACAGCGGCCCTGTCGATGGGGTCGTCTATGTTGGGGATATGTGGGACCGTCTCTAGTTATAAAAAGAACTCAGGCAGGGCGAGGCGAGGGCGGGGCAAGAGGGGACGCAAGAACGGATATCATATCTATTTGGTCGAAGATTGCGAATCCTTGCGCGGGTTCAGAATCTCTCTCGCCCGGCGCCCGAACATTTGATCCACCGTCCTCTGGCCAAACGGAAGAGGCCTGAACGTCACTGTGGCGCTGCGCCTGCCCCGCGCTCGAGGAGCTGTAGTGTGGGCTCCCTAATGCAGAGGGTCTCGGGAGCCGTGCTTGCCGAGTTCGGACGCGTCAATTTTCGGTGGCATGTGGGCAGATTGGGCAATTGAGTGATCGTAGTTAGCACGGGAGACGAGCAGGAAGATTCGAGACCAGCTAGCGTGACGAGGTTAGGATCAGCATGCAGGTGAGATGAGTGCATGGACGGCGACCTCACCCACCAGAGGACGTCGGTGTCTCATGGAGCATTCGAAGGAGAGGAGAGGAGGAAGGAGGAAGAAGGTAGTGGTTGTTGATGTGGGAGGAAGCTGAGTGTGCGATGGCGAATGTGCCTGTGCAGATACGCTCGAGTTCAAGTACCTACTGAAGCCGAAGCATGACAAGGAGTCGTACATTCTGGAGGATGGGGCGAACCGAGTGCTCACGGGCGGGCGAATGGACGGAGACGCACCGCCCATAGCCTCATTCAAATTGCCCATTCTGGACCCGCTGGAATTCCCCGTCACCATCAAAGCTGATCCAGTGTCGCCCTTCACGTTGGCCGCAAGTTGGCGATTGCATATGGAAAATCTGCAATCCCACGGTACCATGGTGCGGGGCATTCCTGATGTCAGCATAAGTGGCGTATCCGCTACTCTGCCTGCCAGAAAGGTACTCATCATTCTTCCACTCTTCTTCCCCCTCCACAGCCCCACCATTTCCTGCCCGCCCTCCCCTCCATCCATCTCAACACTATCCGTGCTATCTATCTATCTATCATGCACCTTTGTGAGGCTGAGCCAGCATCTTATTGTCAGAGAAACACCAACTTGTGCAAATTCTAGCGAGCGTGTCAGACATCTTCTGTGCTAAGGCTGGGGCGCCCTTGTTGACTCTTTCCTTGACATTGTTTTTCAAGAATCAGGACAAAGCTTTGCGCGCTTGATTACCGGTGAGGCCGGATTTTATTACTGGTGTCGGGAGATGTGAGCTATGTCGTACCGTCAGAGACTTCTAGACTTGGGGTTGGTTGTACTGGAAGCTGTGGACAGGGTTTAGGACCAGGACCACGGTGCCAGTGAGCCCAATTAGCCTAGCCAGCTCGTAATTACTCAATGTTTCCCCTACCCGTTCCTCTTGTCCGCTTTTGTCACCCGAGCACACGTCTCTAACACGGCCGCCATCTCAATTCGGCGCCAAATTGGAATCTTTGCTCTGAGATTGTCCGCGTTCACCTGCCATTGTGTGGATTGGTGCTTGACATCTGTGCTATTGTCTGCCTGCTGCTTGCTTGCCTTCAGCTCACTGGATCGCAGGCGCTCGAGCTCGACCTTGAGCATTACGAGATACCGACCCCGGCTTCTGGCCCTACGGGAGCTCAGTACGTCGCGAACGCGGCCGAGGACCCCCGTGGCCTGCAGCTGCATCGCTCTGCATCGGTGCCTGTCCCCGTTTCGGAAAATCGGAACCGAATGATCAAGCGGCTGGACAGCAACGTGTCCCGAGATCGTTGTGTGTCAATTAAGGTAGGTTTATCCCAGTGCTTGTGGTCGTGATCTCTGTGAGAAACGCGGAGTTTCTCAGTCAAGGATACAAGGATTATTCTCTGGCTATGTCATTCGGCCTGGCTGTGGTTACGAGCTTCGTGACGAGCACCCAATTTATCTGTGGGATTGGTCAATGTGGCTACAGGATTTGGTGGTGCTAGGTGGTGCCGAATCGTCCCTACCGACGACCGCACCCACTACTCCTGGTGAATCGAAGACAGTAGGAACAGACCCATTTTCGCCCCGGTTCACGCAAGATCACCAGGGAATATATGTGGATAAAGGCGTTGGAAGTTCCCCGAGGATCTTCCGAGTGAACACGGACGTCAGTTTGATGGACGGAGATACGTATTTGGACAGCGACGAGACAGAGGTAGGCTTGTTATCTCTACTCGGTCGACAGGGGTTCAGAGCGGCTCACATATGGATGACAGTCAAGCGGCATCTAATTTGGGGCCTGGATCTGGAACCCCGTGGGGTAGGATTTGGCTTGTGCGGCTAAAATAAGCGTGACTTATAATAGCTCAGTTCACAACGGTGGAAGTACCATTCGATTGTCAATTTCTGATACTTGCAATTTGTTAGTTGACCCCGGAAGGTCCTGTACTGTAGTGTATCCTGAGCCTTTTCTGAGACTCGCAGAAACCATCGACGAACAAGTCGAATCGTCCAGCCCCGATAGCCATGAGTGCAAACTTGTTTCGTGAGCTATCAACTATGTCGTACGAGCTTCAGGTGATCCGCAGGACCTGTTGCCAGTCTTACGGACTCTAGAACTTTGTACAGGCTGCTGGCGCGTTATCTCCTGAATCTCTGGTTGTTTACTTTCGATTTGACTCGGCACTTGCAGGATATGCCCGAAGCTGCTGGGGCAGTCGCCGCAGCTGCTGTAGCAGATCGCTTACTGGGTCCCAAGGAGCGGAGACAGTTGGCAATTGTGCTGGTAGGGCATGAAGAAAACGCTTTCTATTTATTTGTGAGGATTGCGGCAGGGATCCTTCGTAGTCTTTGAATTTTAGATTCTCTTACATATATCTTTGGGGATAGTTGTCCTTTGACCACATCTAGATGCGAAATTTTAGTTTCTCAGAGCAATGGGATTCTCTGATTCGATTTCGAAAGTGCTTCGCCGTCCTTGGAGGATTGTTGTTTGTCGTCAAATTTGAGTCAGAGACAAACATTACATGCATCCACGTTATATCTTTGAGGGGGAATCGGTTCAGGTGGGTTTGCCAGCAAGAGGCAAGACATTTACAGCGGCGAAGCTGACTAGATATCTGCGCTGGTTGGGGCATGACACGAAACACTTCAATGTTGGAAAGGTGCGGCGTATTGTACCTTATCAGTTGGCAGTGAACTCGAAGCACATCTGTTTCTGATTCCTTCCATCGATGCGTTGTTTCTTACATCCACTAATTGATTTTTTCTTCTTTCACAGTATCGCCGCCTCAAGCATGGGTGTAGTCAGGTAATTACATCATTTATTGCGCCTACGAGCACATGATGCAAATCTCTTCTCGTGATGAGAATAGTAGCTTGGTCCGCAGTATTCCAGAGACGGTTTCAAGAGAGATAGAATTAGAAGCTAGCAGTCATGCGTTCTGTGATTGTTTCTGTTTTTCAGTCTGCAGACTTTTTTCGAGCAGATAATCAAGAAGGTGTGGACGCAAGAAATGAGGTAGGTGTCAGCTGATGTTTCGTCACGATGTCTGCTTTGTACTTCGCACAAATTGTGACCCATCTTTCGTAGCTCATTGTGCACGTGATATATTAGGACAGAGGTGGAGAGTAGAAGAGTCAAGATTTGATTTCAACATTTAAAGTTTCAATCACGGATCTTTGCTGAATAGTTGTCCCGTCTTTGTAAAGATAGCGTCTCTGCTTTTCGGGACGAAAAGAAACAGAGATTATGGGATAAACCTTTGAATTCTCAGGCCAAATATCCTATTTTCGGCTGTACAGGTAGCTATTCTTGCCATGGAGGATATGCTTGCTTGGATGGCAGAAGGCGGTCAGGTATGTTTTTCTTCTCAAAATAGCGACTACATCTTCTTTGATAGATTGTATTGATTGTCTCTTCCTTTGTTGATCCTGGCATCAACAAACTGCTAATATGTAGATGCGTCTTTGTAGGTTGGTGTTTTTGATGCTACCAACACCACTAATGAGCGGAGAAACTTACTGATCAAGTTGGCCGAAGGCAAGTGCAAGGTGAGTCCTCAGGGCTAACTGTTGGATGCATATATCTAATATAAAATGCACCGAGTCACTGTTGTTTGTTTTGCACCTATACATTTGAACTTTGATAATATTGCGGTTATGTAGAGTACCTAGGATACACTATCCTTGCTGTTAAAATTCAAACGACACTTTGGAGTCATTTAGTTCTGCAAAGGAAAATCTTCATAGTTTTTACTTCATTTTCGTCTGCAGGTGATTTTTTTAGAGACTATATGCAATGATCGGTCTGTTATCGATCATAATATTCGTTTGAAAATACAGCAAAGCCCCGACTATTCTGATATGTGAGTCTCTTCACGCTACAGAACCCATGCCCTGTTCGTCTATGTACTTGTCTCACACGGACTTCATTGTTTATGGGTTGTGGAATAACCCAACCAAGGATCTCACCTAGATTTGAAGTTGTTGATATGTACTAAGTAACTATGAAAAGTTGAATAGCTGGTTATCTGTGCCCGGATCTATAATGAAGGATGTGCACATTTGTTTAAACGAGAACTCGGTAACACTTATAACCTAATTGTACTTGCAGATCAGATTATGAGGTTGCTCTTCAAGATTTCAAAACACGTTTGGAGAATTACGAACGGGTATGAATCTCGATAGTTTAACGATACTGATCTTGTATTGGAGATGTTATTGGTGCCTAAATAAGCCGTTGGGAACATAGTTACTTCTATCAGTCAGAACTTGTAGATATGTGTACGTCCACTTGTTTCAGTGGAACATGTTTAACGAGATCTTATTGTGGAATCTATACCCGTGATCTTTTGTTTTCACTTCTTTCTAACTGAGAGAGTGATGATTCAGGTTTATGAACCAGTGACGGAAGGCTCATACATCAAGATGATTGACATGGTTAGCGGTCAAGGTGGTCAAATGCAGGTATTGCTGTATACCTCTGTACCTTAGGTTGATCCCAACCTAAGGTAATCGGCCGTTTGAATTATCTATGCATTGTTGTCTGATTGAGCATTCCTATTAGTTCTCTGTCCTATTTTCATTACCTGAGCTTCAGCTTTCTCCTCTGTTCCATTCTTGTGAAGTAGGAAATTTTGCGATTCTTTGAAGTTCATCGGTGAGTTGTGTTGTCGCAGGTCAGTAATATAAGCGGATACCTTCCTGGTCGAATAGTTTTCTTCTTGGTACGTTTCAAAGTTGGAGATTCATTTTATTTTCAAGTTGCTGTTCCCGGCTTCGTCTGCCACGTGGAAAAAATCAAAATCTAAATTGCGTGGAATTGAAGAAATCGTACTTCGTGTCAAGTTTAACCTGGTGCAAATGGTCTCTTATCCAGCTAGTTGTGGTTTTCCAGGTGAATACGCACATCACTCCCAGACCCATACTATTAACTCGACATGGCGAGAGTGCAGATAACGTCAGGGGTCGAATTGGTGGCGATCCTGTCCTTAGGTACAGTTCTAACTGCTTCCAAAAATATTCTTTGTACTTCAATGATGTACATCAAGACGATTCACTCTAAAATTTATGCGAGTAGCGTAATTTTATTTTTCTATTCATGAAACTTTCAGTTGAATGTTACGTTAATTTCTTATATTTGTGATTTGTTCTTTCAATCTTGCCAGTGAAGCGGGAGAGAAGTACGCATCAAAACTTTCTGATTTCGTGGAGAAAAGATTAAAGACCGAGCGAACGGCTTCTGTAAGATCAGTGGCGCTTGGAATAATCTCCTTCAGTTGTTTTCTGTGGTATGCATGATAATACGTTGTTCTTCGTGTCTTTATCTAGGATGTCCTAAGATACAGTAATTCCTTCAGCTCAATGGGACGTTCGATTGTGTTGTCTAACAGATATGGACAAGCACGTTGCAAAGGACTGTGCTCACTGGACGACACATTGTTGGGTTCCCCAAGGTGAGGGTTACCGGAATGTTCACATCGTGATTGTCGAATCAGTCAATTGATATAAGCTCGTTCACAGCGTGTAGTAGTTGTAGTAGGCATTGAGCATGAGTAGAACCAACTCTTCCAGCAGGAAGTGGCTATCTCAACTTCTGTATTCTTGTTAATTTGGATCTTGTGATCCACATGAAGGATTAGATGTGGATCACAAGATGTATTTACCTTGTCTTTTGTATCTTGCAGGTTCAATGGCGCGCCCTAGATGAGATAAATGCAGGTGTATGCGATGGAATGACATATGAAGAAATAAAGATCGACATGCCAGAAGAATATGCGTATGTTCTATATTTTATTTGATAATCTTCATGTATTTCAGATCCTGATGCCGAGTCTTGAAGAGAAACGGTAAAAAGAAAGTCCATTCACACCTTTTAGTTCACAGTTGTGTGTTGAATTGACTATTAACGAAGTAGTTGTCTCTGATGTCTCTGTACAGCGCTAGAAAGCTGGACAAGTTGAGGTATCGGTATCCTCGTGGCGAATCTTACTTGGATGTTATTCAGAGGTATGGATTTCTTATAGAATCTTCTTAATAATTGGGTATTCTTGACTTCCATGTATGCGCACAATTCACCCTGCAGCAAAGTATCTCATATGAGGCATTCTGCTGTTTGTATATGCAGATTAGAACCAGTGATCATTGAACTTGAGAGACAGCGGTCTCCAGTTGTGGTCATCGCTCATCAGGTAAGGAACAGTGTAGTATGCTCTTTAATTACGTATTCGCGCCGAAGTTTATCTTTTCTTGTGACAGTAACACACCAATCAGAGCATATGCATGTGCAAACCTGCGTAGGCTGACGTAACTGCTTTTGTCCTTTCCAGGCTATTTTGCGAGCTCTTTATGCGTACTTCGCTGATAAACCACTGAAAGAGGTGCCACATATTGAGGTCAGTGTTATAGTGCACGTGAGGAGATCTATAATCGTATTATCCTGTTTATTATTCAATAAAACGATCGAATTTCAAGTAAATATCAGTAAAAGCATTAGCCCTCGACAAGATTCTATGGTCCGACCGCATGCTCTTTTTTAGGAAAGACCTAAATTGTCAAGACTAATTTACTGATGGTTGAGCTGGTTGTTCAGATGCCTCTACATACTATCATAGAGATTCAGATGGGTGTTACTGGTGTACAAGAAAAGCGGTACAAACTCATGGAGTAAATGTACAGCAATATTACGAAAACTCTCATAATAGCAGCTCAAGTTCCATGCGAATGGATACTTGAGTGTTCCAGGTTCAAGTTTTAGATCGCAAGTTTTTTGGAGAAAGTTTTGTCAGATTGTAGGCATGTGATTTGCGGAATCGGGACGTAGGGATAGTTGAGGAAGCCTCTAATCACGACCTCAACGTTGTTCAGAAGTGAACAGATAGGGAGTTGCGAGAGCTGAAGGCCCACAGACAGTAAATTTCTGTACAATGCTGTATCTAATTTGTAAACATTTTTTTTATGTGAAGCTTTTTCAAGTTTTCGCGAGAGATGCTGGAGTTTTGCCCAGCTAATCCTGCTTACAAGTCACTTACAAAGCGCAGATGGTTGTTCTCGAACCCCCTTTACCTGAAGCGTCTCAAGTCACCGATTGGAGCAAGTGGAAGCTTATCTATTAATATGGATGTGCTTAAGGTTTTGAGCATCTTCTCCCCTACTTTTGTGCCAGACGACATCAAGTAAGAAGATAACTGAGTAGGACATCTCCCTGAAACCGGGGAGTAATTATGGAGTCGATGATATGCAAGTATTACCTAACCTTGGACATGTGAGACAACCACATTTGGATTTATAGGTCGGTAAGTACTAGCTAGCAAGATTGAATCGGGTATGCGGCTTATGAATGAAGCGCGTATTATTAATTTGAAAGAAGTCTCCAGACTTTTCATGTTTCAAGTTAAAATTTGATTTTGTTTCTCGATACAAAGATACAAAAATATATATACATGTTGAGAGATTTTAAATATCCACTAATAATTTAATACCTACTCTATGAAGTACGTTCACACGTCTTTTTCATTACCTGTGTTCGTTGATGAGTCTAGTGACATGATTGACAGACCTATGCATTCAACTGGTAATGATGCTTTCACGTGAAAACGGTTGAAAGTAATAAGTTTAATCGCATTGAATTACAGATGAATATTTTGATTACCTTTAATGCCAAATTATGATTAAGTTACAGCATAGGACTAATCATCCAACCCTGTGAGTCGGAAGTGAGAGAAATTTTGAACAAGGCCGCCTACCATTTAAGCCAACTTAATAATAACATTCTGACTTACGGTTGCATGGAGTCCAAAGTTCACATGCAAAAGTTACAACTCTATGTTTCAATAAAAGTCTCGCCCTTTCATACTTGCTTGAAACTGTTACTGAAAATGTCGAATTCATTTCATTCCTATGCAGCAAATATTATTGTTTACAATTTCAATCGCTATGGATGAGCATGAGATATATATTTATAATTTATGAGTACATATATATTTTAAGAAATTACAAAAATATGTTTATTAGATTAAATAATTAATATATTATTGATTTGTTATAATTCATACTACATTCTTAAATCCACAGAAAGTAAATATGAATCATGATTTGTTGAATTCTGATATAGAAAGAAATTACATTTTGGAAATTTAAGAGTCAAGGTCTTCTAAATCAAATCTTTAACTATTTTAGATTCACTCTTGTTAAAATGTATGAATCATCAGATAGTTATGAACATAGACAACACATTTGATATAATCAATATATTCAATTTTGATTGATGATATAATATATAAGAGAATTATATACTCTAATAAACACATTTTTGCAATATCTTAAAATAAAATTTATATTTCTAAATATATATCTCATGCTCATCTCTAACGAATGAAATTATAAACGGTCATGGGTGGGAGGGAAATGAGTTCATAATTTTCAATACCAGTTTCAAGCAAGCATGAGAGGGCGAACCCTTATTGAAACATATAGTTGTATTATGAGATTTCAGCACAAAGATAAGCACATTGTTATTTTAGTATGACCTTCAATATAATATGAAAACTACATTATAAATTGAATTAATACTTCAATGACATGACGATTGTATCAAGAAAATTACTTCTTGACTGATGATATAACTCAGACAAATAAAATTGTTGATATATATATATAGATAATTTTACGACAATCTGTTCATTTCATAGAGAATTATTTTGACTTATGTAAGTTACTATCATATGAGAATTGAAATCTGGTAATATATTTACCACCCAGTAATATATCTATGAAATATCTTATTGCGATAGGTCAATTTTTACTATCATAATTAATTTTGTATGTAAATGGTTTGCAATGAAATTTTTGAATATAAACAGTTAGACTAATATACATTTCAGAGAAAAATTATTATAATTTTATTTTAAAATTTTAAAATTATTCTTTCTCATGGCAAAAAAAGTATTGATATTGAAAATTTTATTCAAAATTCCACTTATATTTTACTAATTTTAAAAAAAATCATTTTTTAAACCTTTCTAAAAAAATATCATCAATGAAAAATAAGAATCCTACATAATAATTGTTATAATAGATTTAAAATTGTATATTATAATTCTATTGTATCTATTTCTTATTTTTTTATGGGTAAATCAAATTTTAAGCAAGCATGTCAATGTAATAATTTTGACAATATTTTATACAATTTTGAATAAACATATACATGAAAGAAGTTCTGTACTTCTACCAAGTTTTTTTATACTTTTTTGAATTTGTTTGAATTAAATAATGATTATATATTTACAATTTAAAATATGGATAATTTGCAGGAAAGTTTGATAATAATATGCTTTATTAGCAAAGTAAAGCATGAGTAAAGATTAATCTATGATTAATTTTTGCTCATGCTTATATTTTCATGATTTGCGTGAATTATTAAATTATTAGGTATCGTGGTTTGCTTGTAGGCTGTGTACACAAGAAAATTCATTGTTTACTAAAAATGTTCGACACACGAGTCTGCTAATCACACTAAGTAGTGTAGCCAAAACCAAGAGAGTGAGTCAAACTAGTAGTCCACACACATAAATCCTAAACTCTAGCGTCAAACTAATAGCCGAAACACATAAATACTAAACTTTTGCGAACAACAATCCTTAAAACTAGGAATAACACTCGAAGCTCCAAAACTAGAAGTTGTGATACTCGAAGCTAGAATATTGGAAGTAATGATATAAAAACAAAATGTAATATTGATGCAAGTACAATTGGTCTTGTCAAGAATGGGGTACAACTTTCCGAGTCTCTCTATTTATATTGCTAATATGTTCTAAAGTGAGAAAATCGGCACCGTCTCTAAGTTGGAAAAAGTCTGCGCTACCTTCATGTTGGAAAATGTCTACAGCGTCCGTGACATCATCTATCTTCAATCAACAAATTTCCACAAATTTGATTATTAAAAAGGATTAAAAAAATCTCTTACAAAAAATCCATGTGATATTTACATGATTATAACTTGATTTATTGCTAATGTTGATCCACACGTGTTGGATTCAATTATAGTAGGCATTCGGTTTTGTTCAGTATTGACGATAAATGTTTTTGATCATTTTGATGGCATTAGCAAGATTAGCAACATGTTGCCAAGTTTGTTTGCTTACGTCATAGCACTGCGAATATACAAGATATTCTAATCTCCTTTGATGGATGTGAGAGTCAAGATGATCTTCAAATTTATTCTTTACTTTAATCTTGATTGGTGATAGAATTGCTAGCAATTGTCTTGAAATAGTCAATTCTTTTTACGATTCAAGCAATGAAACATGAAACATTGGATAATTTTATACATGATGGCATGTTCAACCTACATGTTATCTCGTTTAACTGCTAATACATGTAAAAGATCAAAGACAACAAGTCAAGTTTGTAGTGTGATTCTCAAGTCTTCAAATTGCGACGCAAAAGTCAAACTTTCCCTCCAACTTAGATGTTCAAATTCTGCTTTTGAAATTTATCCACAACTCTATCTGCCACTTTTGAGCTTCTACAAACCTTGTCTTCATGACTTTGTGAATCTCCAAAAGTCTTGTGATCGACCACATTCATTGTCAAATTCAAGCTCAAAAATCAAATCGTGGATGATATTCATAGTTTGGATAGAATAAAGTTTGTTGAAAGGAATCTTAAAATGTATTGTTGTAAGCAAATTTTGAGACTAGAAAGAAATATATTTTCAATTGTCTTGATGATATTTGATGAAACATCTTCAATACTGCTTCAATACTTGATTCACTCGTTTGGTTTGTTCATTTGACTAAGGATGATATGCCAAATTATAGATTGATCTTCACTTGTAAGATCTTGAACACGTATTGCTAGAACTTGAACGTGAATTTCATATCACGGTAATAGATGATGTCGTCTGAAATTGCAACGTCTGAAATCACATTTTATCAGAAAATTTATAACGTTTTTTTACTGTCTAACGTGATAGGTAAAACAATCACATTTCACATGTGATAGTTTTGCTGCAAGTCACAAAGTGTGTCATTTTTGTCAAGCAATCTATCACAACAAGAATTGAAGTAAAAGATATAAACTTTGAAGGGTTGTAATCATCATCAATTATTTACAATTAAAGTAGAGGTAAGTCAAAATGAAGTTATAATTATCTTAAAATGCAATCTTTATAATTGTTATATTAGCTATCTGTGTGCTTGGTAGGTAGAGTATAAGTGTGAAGGTTGACAACAACACGGAAGCAATCTGTATGTTTGTTAGATAAGGATTAAGTGTGTTAGTTGAAAGCGACACATCAGCAATTTGTGAACTTGTAAGAATTATTTGCCATGAAATGAATGGTGGAGATGATATTTTATCTCATTGTACTTGTTGGTTAAATCTATATAAGGGGGAGAAGAAATATTCTAAATATTTTTCATCTTCAAAGTTTTTTTCTTTTTCAAAAGAGCTCTTTTTGATCACTAGTGTTACAATGGTATCAAAACTACCTTACTCTTGATTGAGTGTGAATTATTTCTCATGAAATAACAAGAATATGATGATATCATTAAATTATATAATGGTTGGCAAAGATCATTGAGAGGTAGGGAAGTGAAACTTGCTGTTCGTAGATATGGATGTGCCTGGAAGAAATCCAACATCGCAATGACTGCCCTCTAACCTCTTTGATATTTAACTTTGTTTTAGAAATAAAGATCATCTTTAGATGTACATTGTGGCATATTGGGAAGTATACATTATGATTGAAAGTATGAAGTCAAGAGGGCTGTTGATTTTATCAATTATTAATTACAAAGAGACATAGAATAGTAACTTCTACACTTTATATTGAATGCTCCATGAATTTGAATCATGAATTACCTATCACTATTATAATTGATACATATGTAGACATTAAAATAATATATTGATTGAAAAGAATGCTCAGGAATTTTTTGTGAGAAGATATGATGAAAAGTATTATAGAGGTGTTATGTAGTCATCTTTAACTTTTGCGACTCCTGTGATGAGAGGTTGTTCAATCATCATACTTACTTTGTAATAAAGTGAGTGAGAGGAAGCATGAAGACATCATTAGACATGAATGAGGTCCTAAATGCTAAATCATGATTGAGAGAAAGGAGTTGAGAAAAGCGATAGTGAATGAATACACAAAGCAACAAATTATGAAAAATATGATCTTAGCATTAAAAAGCAAAAAAAGTAAAGATAAAACAAGTTGGAGAGATGAAAATTGAACTTCAAGATCAAGCTTATCAAATT